GGCCCGCCGCCGCCTATCCGACCGCGCCGCCGCCGCCTACCTGACCGCGCCACCGCCGGTTAGAAATTTTTTTTTCTTTTGTTTTGTCCTCTAAAAACGATGTGCGTCTTATGGTCAGGTGCGTCTTATGGTGCGAAAAATACGGTAATAGGAAAAATAGGAAACAGGATCATTATGTACACTGCATTGCAATGTATAAAATAAAGATGGGATAACAATAATAACATCAAGTTTTTATTTATCAAAATCACAGTGGCGAAGTTCTGAAGAACCCTTGATTTCTTCATATTCTCTTCATTTTAATTATAAATTCAACATCGATAGATAATTCAAAAAGAAACCTTCTGCTGTAATAGTGCACGAACCTCACTGTATTATCATTATAGTGTTCAGGGCTCATGTATCAACTGTACGTCCGAAAGCAACCCTGTCATTAGAGTCTGTAGTTCTATACTCTTTAGAGCAAATGAAGGGACTAAGACAAGGGAAGAGAAACTTTCCCAAGGTTACCCAGTAAGTTCAGTAGAAAAATTAATGTGATCTTTTGTTTTTGGAACCAAACCACTTTATATGTATTTTGAACAATATACACACATGAAATTTCTTATGTCATTCTTGCCAAATAGTTTTGAAAGTAGCAAGTATAATAAGTTGTAAAGTAAACCAGATGTCCAAGGCAGCCTACAGCTGCACAGAAGCAGAAGTAAAGAGAGAAAGACACACATCCCCCGCTGATACCTTCTGAGCTGCCAGCTGCATCTGGATCAGAGAGAACATTGGCAAAGGTGGACCCTCCTGTCAATTGGTCAGATACAACCTCTGGAGGAGTAGGAAGCTGAAGCAGAGAAGAACTGGTAGAACTCTGGCTGGACAGAGTAGTCAAGAAACGATCTTCTGTGGAGGAAATATACAGACAATAGAGCATTCTTAGAATGCCTTTCAAATAAGGTATGTGTGCTTTAAGCAACCACCAAAAAGGTTTTAGCACAGATCGAAAAAAAGTAAACTGATACTTGGACAAGCATTCTTTAGCATTTGTACTCTATGAAGAACCAGGCCAGAGTTTTTTTCCTAATTTTTCAAATATTTCAACGTAAATATTAATGTTAGACTTTCTTAAGCTGCAAGTTCTATATAGAAAATAGAAAAGCTGCAAACACACAAAGATACAAGCTAAACATACAATGACAAGTCTTCTGAAATATGCAGCATACCTTTCTCACCATTCTGAAGTGCTGGTGAAACATTGCGAGGAGATGCATCCATTGAACTGATCTGTAGAACAAAGAGTTACTTCTTTCATATTGAGAATTTTTTCTTTCAAATCAATACCATTGTCAACGCTGCTAACATTGGATGTTCCTGCTCTGACAACTGATGAAAATGCAGCCATTTTCTCTTCTCCTTTAACATGCTTTTTCTTGCTTTTAGAAATCAGGTGCAGCGGGGGGGGGTTGGGATATAAGCTCAGCTAGCCATATTAATAACGCTGCTGTGGGAACCCAAGGACAAGCTGATAACGTTTTGGCGGGCTGAGGAGCTGAGGAGAAACCACGCGCTTTAAGCTAATTGGGGAATGTGCTTTATGACAGTTTATTGGGGGTGGGAATTTAGTTTTTGGGTTCAGCTATGTAGTGCCGATACTTTGTTTCCCAAATAAATGTTCCTTAAGGAAGAATTTTGCCTCGAAGTTCTTTTGATGTGTTTCATCTATCAGAACCATGACAACCATTTTGCTAAAAAAACAAACCACTCCTTCTCAATGCACACAAACATGAAAACATATAATCTGAAAGAGAGAAATGGGCAGAGACACAAAGCGTTTCTACTTGGTGTTTCTCTAGAACAAATGAAGCACCCTTCATTTTAAGAAATATAATTGGATATTCATCTCCATTCAATGAAAAAATACAACAGCTGTCAGAAAAACCATGGCACTGTAATACTGTGACCTATAATGAGATCTGTGATTCATCTAAGTTGTTAATATTCTGCTTAAATGAACAATCTATACAATAAATATACTGTGTCATATCTTTACTGAACACATTGAGCCAACTTTTACTACCATTCTTAAAAAATATGTAGAGCTTCTACTTCTTTAGCAGCACTGACTTCATACATTTCCTACACTGGTTGATCAATTCTGCATATCAAACTGGCAATATTTTGGCCCTTTATTTTTTACAGGATTGCTTCAAATCAATTATATTTTTGAACTGTTATGCATGCTTATGCTTCAGATCATGCTGCAATATTTCACTTGGGTTAAGAAGAGGACTCTTGATTCTAGTATTTCAAAACAAACTTTCTTTTGCTTCAGCTATTCTATTGCAGATATATTTGAAGCTAGCATAGTTATTGGATAACACATGTCTGTTTAAACATCAACTTAGGGACAGAGGCTGTAACAATATCCTAGTAGAATTTCCTAATAGAATCTAGAATTCATTATTACCTCAATGAGCCAAGCTTTTGATCCTGAGGTTACAAAACAATCCCAAACCAAGAAATGCCACTTAGTGCTTAATAGTTTGCAATTTTTTTGTCAGAACGCAACATTTTACTTTTTCCAAATAAAATTTGCCAAAAAATTCCATTTTCATATCATCTATCCACAGGATACTGTTCCTATAGCATCTTGATGAACATGGATATCAGACAATACAAGAATGGCCTACAAATCATTTTCCGTTATTTTAGATATTTTGCAATCTCCTGTAATATACAATGCCTTTGTGATGTTCTTGGAATCAATGAATCAGTGGTGTTTCATTTTCTTCATTTGTAACCTAATTGTGAACTGATGGAGGTCAAAGATTTTGACAATGGTTTTGTAGTCCTTTTCAGACTCATATGTCTGCAAAAATCTATTTTGATCAGGATGTAATTCAACATATCTATGTTATAAAGAGCAAACCCTGACTGTGGAAACCATCTTTTTTTTAATAGAGAAAGGCCTCTTAATAGAGAAAGCAGACATGATTTTCATTTCACCAATTAGAATATTTTACTTAACTTATTGCCTTCATTGCCCCAGGTTTCCACATGTTTTCTAATAAACATAGTGAGTTTTGACTCATTATGTTAATGAAGACATGAACACCATATTGTTTTATATTATTTTAACAATTTATATTATAGGACTTAGATGAAGCTCTGGATCACACCATAGATCACAGTATTGTAGAATTACAAATAGTTCTAAAGAATTCTCATTTTTTTTCTTATCCTTGTAGTTTTCTGCAGCAGAAATCCAAATTCACCCAACCACCACTGCAGTTTGGGAATTTGCAAAAAGCATTGCAGATGTTTCAAACATTCTTGCATGTAGAGGAATTCAACAGAACCTAACTTTATTCTAGATTTAATATGCCAATTTGTGCACTTAGAAACAGGTGCTTTCTGAACTAGCAATACAGGAATGCACTACAAGAATGTATGCAAATGCCAATATTTAAATGAATAGTATTTTATTTGCAAAGAGAAAACAGTATTTGTACTGCTTACTTCTACTTACAGCTGCAATTTTAAATATATAATTACAGTGATCAAAATCCATTACCTTATTCTCGTCACCTTGCCTTAATCTCCCAGGACTCGGTGGCACTGAGGGGCGCTTCCTCCCTTTTTCTTGTTGGAAGAGATCTTGCAGCCTATAGCACATTTCATATTATTATTCTGATATATCTAATGCCACAAAAATCATATTAGCAAGAACCCAGTTTTCTCTCAAATATGTAAACCATTTAGAGAACAAACCTTTTATGAAGCCAAACAAGCCTTTTATCTGGAGTTCATTCAGTCATATTTATTAGATTGTTAACTGAAAACCACACTGAACTGACAATATAGTCCTTCTTTTATTCTGTAGTCAATGCATCCTATTCAGAATGTGTCAAATGTCTGATAAATGCATACTTTATTACACTATTAGTATCTATTTTTAATAAAGAAATCCAATAATGACTCATAACCAACAATCTGTAAGAAGAATAACCAGTAGAAAAAAACAATCCTTAATTTTCCAATTGAGGAAATACACCTTTTCTTACCTGTTATTCCATGCTTGCAACATCTCACAGAGACTTTGATTTTTGGCTGTTAAAGATTCAGAAATTGAATGCAGCTGCTGAGGAGTGTCAAATGAAGAAGAAAGCATCCTTGCTTGGATTTTCTCTATCCAGTTTCTAAATTCTACTTCCTCCATCTATCAAAGAAAAAAAACTTTTCTCAGATGAAGGGTTTTTTTCCTATCTTGCACTATCTTCCAGGCAGCTTCCAAACATCAATCAAATATTCATAATTTATTCCTTTAAAAGATACCTATTTCTGCAGAATCCTTAATAAGAATGAAAATCACATTTTCAGCAACATGGTAACAATTAATGGCTTCTAGTTATATACCTCAGTTTCAACTCAGCTCTGTCCACACTACTTTCCAATTACTGAAAACTGGACTGATGTTTGATTCAAAATAATTATTACCTTGGGGGCATAGCTGCTTTCTTTACCTTTGTGTATCCTATACCTTCTGTAATGAACAAGAATTTTAATTCCTATAAACATGTAGTGCATTATACCTCCTTTTGGGCAAAGAGATCTTCCATCTTCTCCTCCCTTGTTTTGCTAAATGTATCTGTTTTCAAAGAAGTGAGGCGCTCATCAACAGCAATATACACCTGAGAAATCCTGCAACAACAATAGTCATACTCTGAATCCAAACTCAATCCATTCTCCTTAAGAATTTTATCTAATACACTGCAAGTTGCAGTTTTTCAAAGAAACCAGCCTAATGGTCTATATTAGGCTGAGAAGCACTTAACAAGTATAATTTTCATATTATGTATTTGTTCAATTTATGTGCAGAGGAAACATATACAGTAGCTTAAATCATAAAATAAATAAGAATGCAAAAGATAAGGGCCCAAAAGATTATTATTTTGCTAACACTGCATATCCTTTTCAACTGATTTGAATGTGTATGTTAATCAGTATCACTAGAAAATTCCAAATTGTAACTTGTTCAGACATGTTCCAATATCTCAGGGGCTGCCACAAAGAAGAGGGAGTCAAGCTATTTTCCAAAGCGCCTGAAGGCAGGACAAGGAGCAACGGGTGGAAGCTAACCAAAGAGAGAAGCAACCTAGAACTAAGGAGAAACTTCCTGACAGTTAGAACAATTAACCAGTGGAACAACCTGCCTCCAGAAGCGGTGAATGCTCCAACACTGGATGTTTTTAAGAAGAAACTGGACAGCCATTTGTCCAAAATGGTATAGGGTTTCCTGCCTGAGCAGGGGGTTGGACTAGATGACCTCCAAGGTCCCTTCCAACTTTATCATCATTATTATTATTATTAAAAGGGAGTTCTTCAGTTTCTATCCAGAAGTACAGTACAACTAGCAAAGCATTAGAAAAACTCTACAGAAAACACTGTGAATTCCAGGGGAAAAAAATAAAATGTTATATTTTAGTTTTGAGACTGTGAGGTAATCATCATGCTATATCCATTATCTGCTGCATATAGCAGTTAAGTGCACAATGCATTACATGTTATCCTTCAACATCGGGGCAATAAAGGAATTGTAACACAAATTTCAAATGGGACACACTGGGCTGGGGTGGGGATGTAAACCTACTTCTGAGAAAAGTCTTTCAGATCTTGAAGCATGGTAATCTTCAGTGGTACTTGACGTTTGATATAGATCTTAGGATGAGGAACACATACCTCCAGTAACCGAATAGCAGAATAGCTAGGAAGAGAACAAAACACAACGTTGAGATGTAAGGCCTGCAAACATCATGCCACTGAACAGTAAATAGGTTTTAATATTAGTGAGAGAACTGACCACATTTAATTCGGCACCCTTTTAAGACGCTAGAAATGTCTATATAAAGTTATTTAAAACCTGTAAAATATATGCAGTGATGATATTGGACAGAAGGTATTTAAAAAGATACGTTTTTTTTAAAAAAATGTAATTGAGAGTTTTTACCTGAAAGATGCCACCATCTGATTATAGGAAAAATACTGGTGGTAGTCATGATGTATGGAGTGGCCACATGGTTCAGCATTGGCTCTTCGGGTATATTGGTAGCCATAAAAGCGGAGTTCAAGGTATTTGGCAAAGGACATAGACCACGAATCATTGGAAAGTGGAACCACAGGTGTTACCTAGAAGAGTTACTGTGATTTTATACGCAGGAAAGTCCTGACTTGCCCCCAGATCTACTCAAACCAATTTGATTTTGCATTTCAGTAATTCTTGAATTTGACAAAGGCAAACAAGCATACAGCTTATCTTAAATTTATGCTGGCAGCAATCAAGAAAACATTAGGAGTAGCCTATATTCAGATGGGGATGTCATTACATAGAAGTAAGAAATGAAACTATTGACATAATCTGTCCTATAGAACCTTTTTAAAGGCAAATACCTTAAGCCATGGCAAGCTTTCTCACCCACTTGGTAACTCAACAGTCTTCTGCTCATAACAACCACAACTGTTATTCCCCAGAGAGCTCCACTGCATAAGAGCAGCTTTTTCCAAACTGATGCCTTCCAGATAGGCTGGACTTCAAATGAGATTTGGAGCCCAAGCATGACTGGAGAAGACCGCATGGAGGATGCTGTTCTAGAGCATAAGGTTTGCGTTGGAAAATTCTTGGACTAAATCTCTCCATTATTTCACTGCTTATTCTGAGATGGGCCATTCTCCCTCCATCTTAGCCCTCCCCTGCCTGTAATCCAGAAATACTAATAAGAAAGACAAAAAAGTCTGGATAGTGGACATTGTACTAGAAACAGCAGAATAGAAGAAAAAGAACCGGAGAAAAATCACAAAATACAAAGACCTGCAATAGAAGTAGAAGGGCTGTGGCAAAGGAAAGCAAAGATAGTACCAATAATAATAGGTGCCTTAGATACAATCCCAAAACATCTGGACCACCACTTGAATACCATCAGCACTGACAAACTTGCCATCAGTCAATTGCAAAAGACAGCTTTACTTGGAACACCTCATATCCTGCAATGATACCTTTAACACTATCAAAGAACATCTGCCTATCCCAGGTCCTTGGAAAGGACTCAATAGGTGGATAAAAATGCCACATCCAGTCTAAACATCTAGCTGATTGTGCAACCAACAATAATAATGTCTGTTTTAAGAACTAAGGTGATGTGATATGTTTGTATTCAATGAGATCACTGTAGGGGAAAAAAGTACTACTGTTATTATACTCAGATTTTCTAACTTCATTTTATTTTCAGATGGAATTTTTGTACATGAAATTTTATGAAACGAAATGTCCTTCAACATTATTCATAAAATGCTACAAAACAGGAGGGCTGGGGTTTTGTTTGATTTTAAAAGAGCACATTTTATATATTATGAATAAACCCAGGTTTACTGTAATTATTTGTCCTGTGCAAATCTAGAAATACCTTTTAGGGAATTAATGTCCTAAAAGTGGCATTGTTGTGCATTCAGAATGGACTTTTCCTCTCTCTACTATCCTCTATTTGTGTGTCTTCTTGTAAATTTCAAGTATTTGAACTACCTGACTCTACAGAAAGACAACTGAGATCTCCTCTTACCTGCTTGCAAAGTCTACACCAGGAGTAAGTGAGAATTGTATGCTGATAACCAGGCACTGGAGAATCCAATTCCTTCAATATGATTTGTACACAGCCTTGTCCATGGACAAAGCGACGGATGTGGTGTACCATTGGTGTTTCACAGAACATATTTGGGCACTGATAGGAGGGCCTTCAAGCAAAAAAGAATAATTGTGAGAAATTTAGTTCTTTGGGTCTGATGTTCTGGTGGGTCTTAAACCATCACATCCTCCATTCACTCATCAGTTCATTCATCACAATCTCCATCACCATGACCTCCTCTTCACTGCTAGTCAGCTGGACAGCACGGAGCCCACTTAAGTCTCATGGTCAATACATACTTAATTTTGCATTACAATGCTTTATATTGAGACTTTTGAAACGGGAAGATTGGGAAGGCATACCAAAATGTTCTTCACTAAAAAACAAGAATTCCCATGCTTTTAAAGAAGAAAAAAAGGAATGTTCCTTTAATAGGGGGAGGGGAGTTCCTGCATTTTCCAAATATTTATATGGTAGTCCATGATCACAGAAAGTTTGAGAAATCCTGCTCTATTCTACTTTACTCCTTCTAAGGAGTGGCATGGAACATCCACATCTTGCATTATATTTCCTCATTTTCATTCTATAGGTAGTTATGGATATACAACCAGTCATTTAGAAAGTGGCTGAGCAGACCCCGATAAAAGGACTTATGACCCAGATTCGTTCTGATTTCCAGCCCCTCCCTTGCAGTCACATGACTGCATTTTGGGCACTCAGCAACCAGTCTGCATTTATGGCTATTTGCAATATCCTACAGTCATGTGACCACAATTTACATTTTTTACATTTTTTCCAGAAAGCTGTGTTTACCTCCAGTTGCTGGGAAAAAGCACCTCATAGCAAACAATGGATTTCCTTAATAGCTGCTGCATTCATTCTATGATCACCACATTTGCTTTACAATCACCATGTTCACTTAATAATTGCTGCAAAAAGTTCGCAAAATTAGGCGCAGTCACATGATGAGTTGCTTAAGAACCGTCACGACTTATGACTGAAACTGCGGGGTCAATTGTGATCGCAAGTCAAGGACTACCGGTACATCTCTGCAATCTCCTCCCTACTATTTCTTTTTAAACTTGCCCCAATAAACTGGTATTTTATACTACCCTGCTATAGTTATAATTTATTTCTATGCCACTGAATGGTACCTGAAATAGTTCAAGTTTTACAATCTGCAATACAACAATAATAATTTTTTAAAAATCCATAAGTAGTAAAAAACAGCAGAACATTATTTAAATCAGAACATAAGCATTTTTTTCAAAAAACTTAAAGAATATTTATTTTGGGCTTCACCCTACATCAGTGTAAGGGTCCATATTTCTCAGTAACATTTGTTCAAATAGCAAGGATGCCTACACTTTATTAAAGTTTGTATTTTGTTTTTGTTTTTGTTTCAATTGGTGATGTTAGAAATTGATTCACAAATCTTTGATATATAAAGCATGCATGTTACTAATGAGCTATAGACCTTCCTAGGTAACATAAGCCTGGGGAATAATGATAAACTACTGGCTGAAAATCCAACTCTTTCCTATCATATTGGTCCCTCTAGTTTTAATAGGCAATTTTCCTTTCTCCCTGGAAACAGCAGAAGTTGGCATTATAAGTTTTCTAGTACTTCTGTTCCTAATTTCTTTAGGGTATAATCAAACAGCTGCTTACCCAAAGAATAAGGGATATGGAGTTTCATGCCAAAGTTAATAGGCTGCTGGTCAAAATGGCCGGAATTGGATAAATAAGAGTACTTGGGAACCAGCAAGATTCCAACAAAATTTAGCTTTCCCTAAGTGGAGAATAGCATTTCCCAGAGCCCGGTGTAACATCTTACCATCTGCACTGCTGCAAGGGATATATTTTGCAAAATCTCATTAACTGAGCATAGCTGCCCATGGGTCAAAACCATTTCACATGTATTATTACATTGTAAATTCTACAGGTATATGAGATCCCCTTATATTTTACTCCTAATATGCACATTTCCAGGAAGGGCAGACAATTTTTATGTGAACCATCTTTTAGAACGTTTGAAACCTTTTATTGTTTCTGCAGTAGCCAAATTCTGTCTCGCAGCAATGAAATTAAGACATAACTGGTAATAGAAATAACCACTTCTGTTTTGTTCATCACTTCAGTGTTAACACGTATTAGCTATTTTGCTTTAACTGAAGTAAGGGGAGACACAGACTGTAATATTTTAGATTTACACTTGCACAGGTGATTAACATGCTATTGTGGTAGCATTTGTGACATTTTTATTATAGAGAGTCTATGTTTTCTTAGTATTTTATCTCATCATTTAATTTTATTTTTGTGCTGTATATTTTCAAATTTTGCTGATCACTGACTGAATAAACATTATTTCTTTCTTTTCCTAGGATCATGATAAAATAGCCATATTTATCTAATACAAATCCAGATTGATGAAGCAAATTAAATAAAAAACACTCCCAATAAATATCACTACTGCATCAAAATGAACTGCATTACTGCATCAGAAATATACCATGACTAGAACCTCATAAAAGAATGCTATGAAATAATCCCCTAAATATACCAAGCCTATTTTCATGATAATTTAAAATCAAATATTCTTACCTGAAACAATATCTTTCTAGAAATACTCCTAAAGTGAGATCATTCTTCCCATAGAACTCCATTACTACCATCCTAAAAAAACCCGGAAACCAAGACAGTTACCTTTAAAATAATTGGTGTTATTGGACATTTCCTGCATGCAAGAGGCCTTTATTGTTTTTCCAAATGTCAAAGAAAAATATGGCTCTACAGAATTTAACTGATTTCTAATTCATTATAAACATTACTCTCTTGGCCTTAGACAATTACTGCTGCTCTCTTGCTTCTTTGCAATGTAAACCCAATAAAACGAACAAAAGAGAATAAATCATATAGTCAAGAGTTGTGAGATTGAGCAAGATATAAATTCAGTCATTCAATCAATATGCTGCGGGCAAACGCAACTGCTGCATATTTTATGATTTGGAAGATAGAAGCAGCAAACTGCATTGCTACAATTGCATGTTATACTGGTCTGTCATTTATTCAACACAAACTGCCTAGGGGGTCCATAAGGATCCAAGCAGCTAGATAAATTGTATAAGTAAATAAAATCAATAGATAAAAGAATTCCAGATACTGCAAGGTGTGAGTGCAACAAAATGCTAATATATATTTTAAGTAACACAGAAGTATGTCTGTATTCTAGAAAGAATTTAAATTTTTTGAATCCTATCTTTCCCAATTTTTAAAATGCCATTCTAGTTTGATTTTAATGAGATGCAGAGAATTTGCAGCACCAACCTCAGTGTTATATGGTCCTTTGGGGAAGATTAAGTGCTTTATCAGACTTGGGGAAGTGGGGGGGGGGGAGAGGAGCAAAACTTTGCTAATCTGATTCATTCCTACATTGGTTGGAAAGTATATTTGAGCTCATCCACCCAGCGATGGCAATGGACTTTCTTCCTGTCCTTGAGACGGGAGGGAAACATGTCAATATAAAAACCACTGCCCATTTGTTACTGCTGCAAGTGTGGTACTTTCACAGAGAATAACATGGATAACTGGCCAACCCTGACCAGGAATCTTCTGCTGGCACAGATGCACTTGGAGGGTAGCTATTGATGAGGAATTTTTGAAAAGGGTACTCTCTTTTGCCTCTTAACTGAACCTCTGCCCAGTATTTTGGGTTCCCCTAAAGTCCTGTTCTTTGGGCCACTGATGGACCATTCAATGAACAAAAAACTATGGAGGGGAAAAAAGCATAGGACAGTGGTGGCGAACCTATGGCACGGGTGCCAGAGGCAGCACTCAGAGCTCTCTCTGTGGGCACGCGCGCCGTTGCCCCAGTCCTAGGTCTTCAGCCTGGTTTTATAAAATCTTTTTGCTTTAGGCCTCCGTCGCCGTGTGCAAAAAAAAAAAGGTTCAATCAGTCAATTTCAACTTCTCACGGAAAAAAAAGATCTTGCAAAGTTGGAATTGATTGAACTTTTTAGTCCCACCCAGTCTGCCATTACCACCGCAGCCACGCCCAGCCAATGGGCCACATTCAGCCAATGGGCCACACCCACCCGGCATTCGACGATGCATAAGTGGATTTTGGGTTGCAATTTGGGCACTCAGTCTCTAAAAGGTTCGCCATCACTGGCAAAGGATGAGAAAACAGAAGGTGGGGTCTCAAAGAGACATCTCCCAAAGGATTATAAAAACCATGTGTTGTGTGGCAGTAATAGTAGTAGTAGTAGTAGTAGTAGTAGTAGTAGTAGTAGCTGCATGTTTACAAACCAATAAATGGCAAGCCTCTAAGGAATATTCTCTATTTCCCCATCAAATAAAAGAGAAGTATTTAGGTAATACATTTAAGTACCGTAATTAAAGTAAATAACATTAATATCATACCATGGGCTAACGCAGGCACTTGGAGCATTGCCAGATTGGGATGAAGAACTACTGAACAAAACACACAGTCTCTGGTGGTTTGTACAGCTAAGGCAGTCCACCTGGGAAGACATGTACATGTAAAACAATTATCATGTTATGTTAGCAGTGTCATGGTTCCGAAAGAAGAAGCTCTTCAAAGAACTTTGAGGCATTGTTTACCTTAAAGAATCTTTAATTGCAACATAGCTTCGGCACATACATAAGAGAAGCCAAAATCTGAATTCTCCCCCAAACACACAGTATCTAAGCATAATTCACTCCTCCATTTAACATTCATTAATCACATTCTCCAATTAGTTTGAAGTGTGCAACTTTCCCTCCTGTTCCATAACTCGCCATTTCTTATCTCCTCTTATTACAACCAACCTTGAAGAATACTCTACTGAGTTATTGTTATGGCTAACTAGTCCCCATACACATTCTTCCCCCTCCCCTCCAGCACCATCTAATTCTAACTCTAAAAGTAATACACAGGTTAAATAGAAAATGTCTGCATCTTCATATATTGTCAAGCAAGAACATCCGATGTTAGCAGCGTTGACAAGCAGTGGATGGACTCAAGTGTAATGTTTACGAGTACACTGATGGAAGATCTAAAGAGCCAGAAGGTCTATCTATGTGGTTGTTCAGAATCAAACCAACCTGATGGCACATAAATCATAATCAATATTTACATACATGCATACCCATCATGCCTTTCAAGGTAAGCAATAGTATGCCAGGCATACCGGTAGTAAAGAAGTAAGAAAAAGTTAAATAAATTAAAGGTGCGAGAGAAGAAAAAGAAAATGAAACATAGCTACACTATTTATTATAACTATAATGTTAAAATATTTTAATATGACTTTATGCACCTGTGCTAATCAAACTAAATATTTACAGGTGACAGAATTTGGAATAATGCTACATCAAATGTGATAAACTTGTAAGATATCTGAACTACACAATTCCTTTCTTAAATGTATGCGAAATCTTTGCTTCATGTCTCCCTCCTTTTCTTTTGCAGTAGTCACCCCTTGCCTTGCACATTACACTTTCTTTTTCAGTTTAAGCTCTTTCTTTGTCTAATATGAGGAACACAGGGATCCATCATTCAATATTTATTTTTAGGAACTGTAAAGAGACCGAGTCAAAAATGCTTTGCCATTTTTCAACTGAGCACATTTTCAACATCTTTGAAGTACAGGCCAGTCTAGTATGGGATACTATCATATACATAAAAATATACATACTATATTTTTGTCTTGAAAGCCTTTCCCATTCAGCCAGGTTTTTCTTCAGCATCTTTGTTCCTAGGTGCCTGATACTTTTTCAAAGAGCAAAAGGCATTCTGAAAATATTATCATTACAGGTAATCCTTGAGTTACAACCATTCGTTCAGCAGCCATTCAAAATTATGATGGTGCTGAACAAAGGGAACTTATGATCAATCCACATAATGGTCATATGATTGCTACTTGTGACATTCTGTGCCGGCCTCTCATAAGCAAAGTCAACGGGGATGCCTGCAGAGAAGATCACAAATCACTCCTGTAGGACATCTCCCGCCACCTTTTTTCCCAAAGAGTCCTACCAGAATACAAGTTTCCAAGGATCTCATAGTCCATAGCACCCCTGCCCACCTATATCTTCTATCAGCTCATCTGTGCTCCATAGTGCCTCCCGTGACGCCCAATAACCTACTTGTGGCATCTGGGTACCCCACCACACTCCTAAGCAATGTGGTCATGTGATGTACTTCACAACCACATTGTTTAGCAATGGAAGTTCTGGTTCCAATTGTTATAACCCGAGGATTACCTTTTGCTACGATATACTCTAAACCTAATTGAAGATATTTAGAACAGTTTATTTCATAGGTTTCCAGAATCCACCAACTATTTAAAATATTCACTCACTTTTTGAGACCATAGAGATTCATTTTGAATGAAAAAATTTTCATCATCTTCACTCCTGACTCCTAATTTCACAGCAGATGTTTCTTTAGATTGAACAAATGGGTCTGCGCAGTCTTTCTGCACAATCCTTCCTCCTCTGGCTCGGAAGTCAGCTACCAATCTGGCCAAGTTTGAGCTACTGTTCAGAGGCTCAGCAATTCTGGTGCTAACAAGTTCATGAGAAGGTAGAATCTGGATAGGCTTGGCTTGGACGCTTCCATTCATCCCTTGTAGTCCAGAGAGATCCCTTAACAATTGTTTCTTCCTTCTGATATCCAGTTCTTTGTACTCCTTGTTGAGCAGAGGAGAAAAAAAAACCTGCTCTGAGAAATATTCTCTAGTGGGACATCTCATGCCTCTCTCTGTTAACAGAAATGGCTCACGGAATGAGATTACTGGGGAAATACAGAGAATAACATCCTTCAGTTCTTGCTTAAATGCTAAAGAAAAAGTTTTGAGACGATCTTCAGAGGAAGTCACTTCCTCTGTGATATACAACCCAGTGTCATCTTGCAAAGGATCTCTAAACTCCCTGGCCTGACTTTTAGGTTCCTGGTAGTCATTAATTACCCCTAGAATTTCCAGTTGTTCTGTATCTAAAATTCCTAGTTGTTGTTCAGTCAAGTCAAGAGGTAAAAGTGCTTCAGTAATTATTTTTGGTCTGTATAACAAATCCACCAGAGGATACCCTTGCTGCTTCTGGAGAGCAGCTTCTTGTAAATCACCACTGATCTGGTCATCCTCTTCTGTCAAAGTCTGTTCTTCAAGGGAGCCTAGCTCATCTAGAGACACAGATTCAGATATAACAGGCAACTTATCTGAGACTATATCAGCCTCTTTTCCTACTGTGTCAAATTCTCTGTTCAGCAGATCTTGCTGCCCATCTTCTTCCCCCTGTTCTTCCATCAGACTCTGGAAGGAACCATTTTTATTCAACTGAGGAGGCATGGCAAACTCATCCATAAGGAAGGAGATCTCCAACTGGGAATGATAGGCCACACAGATCATAAAAATAAGGATCTCCTTCACTCGAGCCAATTCGTACTCTCCTGCACCACGCAGCTTGACAGTACAGCCCAGGTGTTGAGGGCAACCTTCAAAAAACATCAGAGTTTTTGTTTGCTCTGAAAGAGAAGAAAATGATTCTTACTACAAAATGATGCTTATTCTCTCTACATATGGCGGTGCTTTGGCCAATTTGTTTATGTTAGTCAAAGTTATTAATGATTCAAAATGTATTCCAAAACACAAGTCAAATCAGAAATTCAATTAATTTCCATTATATGTTTTAATCCATCAAGTTCTAGAGTTTTACTTATAGCTTGATCAAACACTTTTAAACTGTAAAAATATCATGAAACAAAAGTACACACACAAATACGCACCAAGTAAAAGAGAATAGAAATCTTTATGTAACATCATTTCTTCTACCTTGAATGATTTGCAAAATAATCTTTGGTTAACTTTCCATAAAACTGCAAGGATAATATAGCAGAATATGCAGCTACTGAAAAGGGCCTCCTGGGTTTTAGCGTTTTCTGCTTAGTTTGCGTATTTCATATGATGCACGGTATTTTTTTTTTACTTCCACAAACTTATGCCTTTGACAAAATGAGATTTTGATCCATGAAATATTTTGTCATATTCTATGTTAGCCTTCATTATTTTGTTTTTACTGCAGTAGATGAGTAAGTATGTCTTCTTTAGACATTTCGTATTTATAACAGTCTGTGCTCCAAGTTTGTATTAAACATGCTTTAGAGAGTGAATGTATATTTACAGTATGTCAAACGAATGTAAGTCCTTATGGAGAACAAAATGAGATACATAAAAAGAAAAATCCAGAAGAGTAAATATAATTTCAACAAAACCAGCTAATGAAAATTATGATTAGAAGGCTAAACCAGAAGACCCAATTCATATCTTACTACAAATAGGGCTTGGTAAATAGAAGAGGCACACAATGCTCTCAGCCTTAATTCTGCTACTTGCAAATAAGAATTCTGTCCTAACTTTAGGATGGCCATAAGAAAAGCACTTCCTAGCTTTTATTTAAATATATAAAATTTAATTTATCTTCACATTAGTCTAGACCACGGGTGTCAAACTCACCGCATCACGTGACGTGATGTATCATGACTTTTTTCGCATTGCCGGAGCTGGGGTGGGTGCGGCCTCAGCATGATGCAACCGGCCCGTGGGCCGGCAGTTTGACACCCCTGGTCTAGACGAACGGACAGACAGATGGATATAAGAGGATAACAGAACTTCTTGGCTTTACTCACCATTAGGTAACTGGAACACCTGAATATAAAATTTATGGCAGGTCCCAAGGTGTGGTTTCGTTAACAACTGATCCATTGACATCAATACATCTCCCTGGGTCATCCGACTTACTCGATCCAGAACATGCTGCAAAACATTAATAAGATAAAGACTGCTTTTGGCTGCTTATGTCTTTCCTTCTTCATCAGATTGATATCCCACATTTCCTCTCAAGAACATAAAGTGGTTTACATGCCAAGCACCCAAATTTTGATTATGTGACCATGGGGGCATTGCAACAGCCATAACTTTGAGCACAGGTTGTAATTCTCTTCATTCAGAGCCATATTAATTTTAAACAGTTGCTGAGTGAACAGTCATAAGTTGAAGACTATCTGTATTATTTTCTGATTCCATTTCAAAAGTCTCCTTCAGTATTTTTATTGGCATAACCATTTTACAGGCCTGTATAAAGGCCCTCTGCCTAAAGTCTTTAGCTATTGCTGAATTGCAAAATACTGCTGGGTCATGACTATGGATTAGACCATCAGCTCTAATCACAATTCAGATTGTAGACAAGTAGAAAAAAAACCAAAATGACAAAAACATAGTTAAGAAAATGCGGGAAATCACAAGAATACGATTCTTGTGAGATGGAGGGGCTATATAAATTTGATAAACAAACACATAAATCATTCAGCCTTGTGTTAATGTCATAAAGAACAAAGCATTTAAAAAATCCTGGCAGAATGGCAAGAAAATAGACCCGCAAAAGGAACAATACTTTACAGGGTACTTTAGGGCAGAGGTCCCCAACCTTTTGGGCATCAGGGACCGGTTCCGTGGAGAGAGGCTTTTTCGCGGACCAGAGGTGGCGTGGTTTTGTGTGCTACCTGCATCCTGCGGATGGGGCTTGTTTGCACAGACCAGTTTCTGGTATGCCGCGGGTTGGAGACCCCTGCTTTGGGGGGTTTAATGTATACTTCTTGGTTCAATCCCTTTCTCGAACCTTTAAACCTTTTTATACAAATTTTGTTTTTGCCCAATAAATGAAAGCACTGCAACTCTTTTTATTAAAAATATACAAAAATTTATTTACATGCTGCATTTACACAAAAAGAATGATGTATCTATACATTTCATTACATTTTACCATATTTAAGATGTATGAGCTTTTAATAATGTGGAAGCACTTTGAAGTATGCAATCATAATATAATTCAGAATGTTAGTACTTACAGGTTTAACATTAATGACCAAAGTAATTCCATTTTCCAGAAGCAGGTCCTGAGCAATACGGGACACTGTTTTTTCAACCAAGACCAAAGTAGGTCTGACATCCACTATTCGTTGAACATAATTTTTCAAAAACTCCTTTTCCTAAAATGATAAAAGAAAGTCTTTGCAGTCATACACTGAGCATTACACAATCAAGAAAGGTTACTAGAGTATTTCTGGAGTTTTTCAAGATTGAACCTGAAAAACTTGAGAGTTTCTTTTCTTTTTATGGGATATTCCTAAAGGATGGAAGCAACGAGGAAAGTAAATGCCATCTTAATTTACATATCATCTAAATTGTGCATGCAATAGATTATATAATTGGATCATAAACTGAAAAAAAAATCAGATACGTTTCTAAAATTTCAGTTCACTCATTAAAAATGTTTTATTTCCAAAATGCTAGGACACATTCTTTTTAAGACTGAGAAGAAATGCTTCAAAATTGTTTCATTTTTGGTTAAATTATTGAAAATATATTTACAAATTCTCACACATGTAATGTCTCATGTCAAAATTATGGGAAATATTCTTCATTTCTTTTTCCTATCCTTTTTGGAACTGACCACCTAGTATAATATATCTGCCCCTATATAAATAGGTTCACAAAGACTAGCTTTACATAGACTTTAAAAAACCGTGTCTGTGTGTTTGTGGGTGTGGGTGTGCGTGCGCAGGCGCACACAGTTGATATGTTAACTGTTTGAATTCTTGTCCCATTCAAACTTAACAGATCCGACTCTAGGATACAGTGCTCATTTCCATTTCTTGGCCAAAGAAGCCAGTGTTGTCCAAAGATATTTTCTGTGGTCATGTGTCCAGCATGGCTATACACCAAAGGCACATGGAACACTATTATTTTCCCACTGAAGTGGTACCTATTAATCTACTCGCATATGCATGCTTTTAAACTGTTAGGTAGGCAGGAACTGGAATACTATCTTCTTGAACACTAGAAGTGTTAAAATCAATATCATTCACTGAACATTTTCTAAGTACATATGAAACATAAAATGCACAGTACTGGGTATTTCATATCAAATCTGCTATGAAGAAAGATGGTGACAGACGCATTTATTTCCTGTACATTTTTACTGTAAAATTCCCAAATATAAATGTGCTATAAAAATATTACTGTGTATTTATAATTGTATAATAAATATTAAATATAATATTACTCTTTGCAGCTAAAAAGTCTCTAAACGGGAAACCTTTAGCAATTAGCCTGAGAATAGCTACTCAAACACAAAGAAAATGTTACTAAAATCAGTCTCAAAAATCCATAAACAATGTAGGATAAACTAATTCATTAGACTTTGATTTAATGTTAATTTGAATAAATAGGACAAGGAAAATAAAACTATTCTCACCTGGAGGACGATGGGATCTATGCATGTAAACTTTGTTTCTTCTCGGTAGAGATATTCAATGGAACACTTCAGCAGAAGGATTTTGGGGTTTTTAATATAGGAATTCATCTGGAATGAGATAAAAATTATGAAATGCATTCCTCTGCAAGTTTGTATTACAGTGTAGATAAAACAAGTTTATAGCTCAGTGTCACACAGGTAAAGTTTGAAAATTCTGAAATAGAAAATAGAAAAATGTGGGATAGACAGCAACACCATTAGATGGCTGACCAACCACACTCAACGTGTAGTCTTTAATGCAACTACATCTACATGGAAGGAAGCATGTAGTGAGGTACTCCAAGACTCTCTCTTAAGCCCAGTACTCTTCAACATTTTCATGAACGATTTAGATGGAGGGTTAGAAGGGGAACTCATCAAATTTGCAGATGACACCAAGCGGGGAGGAATAGCCAATACTTTATAGGCTCAAGATCCAGAAGGATCTTGAGAAATTTGAACTCTGGGCACTATTCAACAAAATGAAATTCAGTGGCGAGAAAAATAAAGTGTTACGCTTAGGCAAGAAAAACTAAATGTACAGGAATAGAATAGATGGTGTCTGGCTCAACAGCACTAACTGTGATAGGGATCTAGGTGACCTAGTGGACCATCACTTAAGTATGAGCCAGCAGTGTGCTGCAGCTGACAAAAAAGCCAATGCAGTTCTAGGCTGCATCTACAGAAAAATAGTATCAAGGTCATGTGAAGTGTTAGTAACCCTAAAAGAACTGCATCCAGTACTGATCACGATACAAAAATAAAGTTGAGACTCTAGAAAGGGTGCACAGAAGAGCAACAGAGATGATAATGGGACTGGGGGCTAAAACATACAATGAATGATTTCAAAAACTGGATATGTCTAATCTAATGAAGAACTTGGTGTGACATGATAGCTATCTTCCAATATTTGAGAGACAGTCACAGAGAAGTGGAGATCAATCTTTTCTTCAAAGCACCTACGGGCAAGACAAAACTCATCAAGGAGAGATCCAATCTACAACTAAGGAAAAATTTCCTGACAGTGAGAACAATAAATCTTTGGAATGGCTTCCCTCCAGAAGTGTTAGGTGCTCCATCACTGGAGGTTTTTAAGAAAAGATTGGACAGCCATTTGTCCGGAATAATATAGGGTCTCTTGCTTAAGAAGGGGGTTGAACTAGAAGACCTCCAAGATTCCTTCCTACTCTTTGTTATTCTGTCATTCTTACAAATATTGGCTCCCCTTCATTATAGGTAAGCTCTCCCTATCGAGATTCTGCAAGCACATCAAAATCCACTGAAAGTAAATTTCTCAAGATCTCCATAAAAAAAATTGATCCATATCAGTCTAGTTTATAAAACTTAAGTTCCGTGCTCAGTCACATCCACAAAGTCACAGTTTATACAACAATATTGAATCTTCCCAAGAGGAGCCATCCTGTCAAAATCACTCTGAGAGAGCAGCATTAAATCTTCCAGATAGTTACAAAACAGCGATCTGTCTTACTGTGATTAGAGTTCATGACTTCACCAACAGAAAAGCACAGGATACTCATAACTCATTAAAAGGAAAATTGATGCTTATCAAAAATACATCAAAAAGCATCTGTGTGATTCTCCAGACTCATGGATAAATGTTCTATAGAAAAAATGGGTGTCGTATCAAATGCTACATTCCATTATCCCAACTGTCAAGCATAGAGATGATGGTCTCATTGTCTAGAGTTGCCTTTGCTGCTTCAGGCTCTAGGTGACATTTCATCATATCCAAAAATTCAAGGGAAAAGGGCGGAGAAATACTTTTTTGCAGAACTATGGTGAAGTGTAATAACATCAAAAGAGCAAAATATGCTGTGCCATTAAGAATTGCATAGAACATTCATAATGTCACTGTTCTATTTTTTCTCCAATTACATAAAACTGGTTCCACCATACCTTTTTATGTGCTATGTTTTTGGTGCATACAAAGCCATTCACCACTACTGAATCAAATTTTTTTCCACCTGGAATCTGCAAAATTATAATAAAACATTAGGTTATATTTGTATTTTCTACTTGCCAACTTAAATTAGGAAACAAACTAGTTCTGGTTCTCCTATCCATACCGGCTGGTGAAAATGGGAGTTGTGGATGGCAGCTTCCTTAGCAAGGAAGCAGCAGCCAACACAATTGTGTGGATAGTTGGGAGAAGAGAGGAAGAAAATTTCATTTTACAATAAAGTTAAATACATAAAATGACACATTAAAGATTATGTCAGAGTAAAATACAGATTTAAGGTAGGATGAATATGATCCACTTCTCAAATATAATTAATTAACTAAGCCAGTCTGGTGCTTTACCCTGTCCTGTTTTACATGACTAGACAGTGAAAAACAGAAAGACAGGCGAATCCCTGGTAGTAGGCGCATAGCTGGATCAATGTGTCACCAATAGGGCAGCAACAGTAATATTCAGAAAGGCCATCATTTGAAAGTGCCCCCTCCCCTGAGTTAAGCCTTAAGAGTCACTTTTTTTCTCCTTTCTCAGTTCTAAACCTACAGAGAGACTCACTTTTTTGATATGGACAAACTGGCGAACGTCCATGTCATCATCTCTGTTCTTGACATCAGGTCGCACTGTCTGAACCACCTGGCAGACCACCGGCACAATGATATCACGCCAGGAGAGGGACAATGCTTCGTTGTATAGCAGCTGTTGAAGCAGAGCCATCATGTGGTTATGATTAGCAGAGCTGCAGGTAAACAGGATAAAGGTTCAAGAGAGAGGAGAGCTACCGTCATTACGGATACTGGGGCAGATTCTTTGCAAATATATGTGTTTTTTGTCCAGTGGTGAACTTCAGATGTCAATTGCAAATGCTCAAAATTCGCAAAAACTTTGGACAGAAGAAAAAATTAGTAAGTATGTAGCATCAGGATAAATACTTCCAAATGTGAAAATAAATCCTCAAGAGTCTGTGTAAAATATATGACTTGGTTAGACATTAACATCTGGTATACAGGCCGTTTATCTGAAATCCTCTTTGTATTTCTGGCTAAGAGTTAAAAAAATGTTTTAAAAAAAGAATTATAAGTTCTTTGTGAGACTTTTATTGTAGGTAGGTAGGTAACGAAGAGGTTTATTTCCATAGACCTCTTTCAGTAGCCAAGCAGTAATAATCCACAAGCTCTCTGCCTTGCATTGATGTCAAAGTCCAGATGATATGTTTAGTACAAGTAGTCCTCAAGATATAACCATAATGAAGCATCTCACTTAACAACCCTAACATCCTACATTCCCCAATGAATTGTTAAGTGAATGTGTAGGTTGTTATGCAGAGCATGGGGTACCTCAGGGGTGGGGAGGCCTTTAGAGCCCTAGTACAGGTCCGGCCCACTTTGGGAGGTCCTCCCAAGACCTTTCCCATCCCACCTGTACACTGCTTCCTGCCTCTGGGGTCTCTACAGGTCTTTTTCCACTCTCACTATGTCCCCCAGGCTTTAGGCCTGATTCCCATCCCTTTAGGCCATATACCCTCCTCCTCACTTTTGAAGAGCTCTGAAGCCTTCCAGAGTGCTAGAATAGATCGCTTCATCACAAGGCTGCATGGCACAATTCCAAAGTAGGCACTATTTTGTCCCACCCACAAAATGGCAGCTATGTGGCCCGGGGAAAAGAGTGTTCCATTTTGTTGCCTTAATGATCTTCTGAATACTGCATTTTGCTTTACTGCATTAAAGCAAAATGGATTGTTTTATCGCCAGCTGCATGGCACGATTCCAGAAGCGGCAGCAATAGAGAGATACGTGATGATTCAGAACCATGTGGCCTGTCTTCCTTCCCCAACATGAAGTCAGGAAATCTTCAAAAGGTAAATGTGATGGGTGATAGACATATGGGAAGCAGGCCCAAGTGCTGTGGCATTCCAGCGGGGTGGGACCGGAGAGAGGTGGGGGGGGGGTTGCTGCAGTATATCTGCGGCTGATGATAAGGGTGAATGACTGCAATGGCACTGCAGCCATCATAACTTTGAAATGGGGTTGTATGTAGGTTTTGGTGGTCTGTTGTAACTTTGAACAGCCATAAAATGACCAGTCCTATCTTAAGGACTATCTGTACTACCCTTTTCGGAGGACCTAAATTTGGAGTCAGGGGAGAAAGTCAACTAAAGTCCATACATTTTTTTGTTCTTAGCAAAACTATCCATTTCATTATTTACCACTTTTCTCTTCCTGCAAGATCTTAATGAGAAACATTTCTATGAACTTGTTTTTTTCAAATACGTGAAACAAAACTTAGAAAATATATTTAGTATTAAAACTTTTTTCAACCCTTATACACTACAGAAATTAAGAACAGATTTCCTGTTTCCTAATTCTCACACAATATATAATAAATGTCTGTAAATTGGTGCCACAAGGGAGCCGTGGTCACTATGCTCAAAGTTAAAATATTCTCCAGGTTTCATTCTTATTCACTCAACTTACAGCAACCTCTCCATGGCCTGTTTTTCCCCATTTTCCTCCCTCAGCAGATCCAGATTGCTGTGATGCCAGCCTAGGGGTGTGAAGAAAAGCTCTTTGGATTTTTCTTCAACTCTCCGGTTAAAAAGTGACTCTAAAAAACAAACAAAAATGGAGATAGAATTGCATATTTTCATATTAATTTGTGCACCAAATACTGATAATCAATTCATTTTGTATCATTTTGCACAGATCTACGTCCTGCAGCCATAGCAAAATTGCAGGGAAGCATTATTGGAAAATTTGCTGTATCCTGCAGTCAGACAGACGAAGGAAGACTTCTTCCACAAGTCCTAGATATGGGGAAAGATTGCACTGAACGTATCACTTCTCCTCATGGAAAGTTACTGTGACCCATCTGATGATATGATTGGCACTTGGTTCCATCTTTATTATATTTTATTATTTTTTTACCATATTTTATTATATTTTGCGATAACCCGTCTTTTTTAAAGTCATGAGGCATTAATAGCCATTGATTGCAAAATCAACTCTAGAAACGTGAAATCAAAATCAGTTTTCAGAAGTGTGAAAAATAAATTTTAAAATCAATTTTTAAAAGCATCTCAATTTTTACAAGAAATATTTAAACTATCTAACATAATTATTTCAGACTGAAAAGATAGGAGTTACTCTGGATTTATAATCTTAGATTTATAGATAAAAGCTCAGTTTTCATTTATGAACTATCAACACAATGGAAAGACAGATGAATATTATGAGGTCAATGTTTAATTATTTATTTAAATTAGACAATGAAATCTTGTATAGGTTTTGTGTGCTTTTCTCTTTTTCTGTTTTACATATAAAAAAGTAAAATAAAAGACTAAATCTCAAAACTGTTTCAATACATTAACTTTTTAAAAATGTTTTTTTTTAAACTTAAAAAAACTATTATGATTGTAAAGACTTGAGGCAGACCAGGATTTTCTAAGTGCTTTAAGGATATTTTTGCTATTTTCATTATTCTATAGCTCAAATATACCAAATTTAATTCATAGGGAAAGATTTCTTATAGGTTAACATAGTGCTTTTTTATTTGTTCAAATAGCACATGATGAAACGTAGAAATAGCTATAAAGTTTGTTGAATTATTTAAGCAGAAGAAATGCTTAATGTGTTAAGACATTAATTAGTTAAAGTTGAACTTTATAGCTTTAAGCTTAAAAGAAAACAAGTTAATTTAAAAGAGAAATGCCAAAAACAGAAGCCAGAAAGAAGGGCAGAGTTTTTTTAAGTACTGAAAGACGTCCACAGGTAAGACTGTCTTTACTCCAGTTGTATGTATTCACAGCACTTGGAGGGAGAATAATTTGACATTCACCCAATGTTATATGATCCCATTTTCTGTAGTGGTGGGCATCCCTTTCACATTCAACTTACCTTTGATGAATGCATCACTTATTGAGATCATTTGTTGTCCTCCATTGTCAGCAATCATATACTCTGAATGAAGATAGAAAATAGAGAGATGGGAGAAGAAAAGACAGGTTATGCTTCTATGCTATTATATGACATACACACCCATTCATTCCAGGAGAGAATAACAAACATGAGTCATGCATTTAGTCACTGTAATAGGAAGGCCTGTCCTTAGAGAACCTGTCTCATTCTTTCTCATTCATTGTGTCAGCATAAATACTAAATTATCATCCAATGGAGCCAGTATGATATGAAAAAGATGCTGAATAAAAATATTTTCCAATTTACAGAGGGGCTTAATTAACTTCTTATATGGCCAGTATTTAAACAAGACAAAGAGTGGTCTTTTTTTTTTTTAAAGTAGATTCTTGGTTGCCACATCTAGGACAGGAGATGTATTAAACATGCCTCACACCCCTTCCCTACTTCCCCTGACAACAACTCAGTTATTCAACTCTGCCCTCAGTTAATGGCTGAGGGAAAACGCAACACCTTTGGACTTGACATTCTACAGAGGAGAATTTATTCCACGGGAGAATTGGGACAGCAAATTTGTATTCTTACCTTGTCCCCACAAGCTCTTTCTCCTAGGACAAATACTGCTAGAAGCATGATTAAAAGAAATAATGCCTCTCTTACACAAGTTGCTGTGTTGGTATCTCAAAGAGCAGGGAAGATAGCTTTAAGGGAGAGCTCATTGCCCCCCTTCATTACTTCAGCATGGCATTTAGTTCTTTCTTTGTTCACCATTACAAAGATCTGAGTGAGCCTGATGTTACTTTTGCATACCACATACACATACATCCAGTGTAAATTAGGACACACTGCTACAAAAAGACAGCTTAAATCCTATTTTAAGCACTCATCTTGTTCTACATATTTGTGGGGGGGAATCTGTGGTTCTCTGCTCCTTCTCTTGAATGGGATTTTGCTGAACCCCAAGTGCAGTTACACTTCAGAAAGTTTATGAGGCAATGTATACATTACTAGTGAGCCATAGCAAATGGACCCCAACACCATTATTAAGATTCTAGAAGTAAAGGCAGTATCAATACAATTCAAACACAATTCCCTTTACACTATACTGAGTTATCCTGAATACTACAAACTACATTTTGAAAACTTTTTAGTGAGGGAGTATTGATTTACCAAGCCGTCTAGATTTAGATGTCCACAACATAATTTCTGAGACAATGAACTGGTTGCCAAAGAATGCAAAATATAATCATGCCTGTTTCTACTTATTGTAGCTTTTGAACCATGATATGTGAACTCAGCTGACTATGGAATATTCTACAAAGCATGGTTTAAAAAGCAATATTTTAGTTTGAGTTCTGAACCAGTCAATATATCATAATCCCAAATTACTCACATAAATATTGTGCCAAAAATCTTCCCTTAAGAGAATGACCTTTTACATCATGTTGTTTTCAGGAGAGGTAGGCAATCTTTTTTGGTTATAAATATATTTGAAGTGCTGAGTTCTATCACAGATGCTCTCAAAAATAACTGCTATGGTAGCTTGCCTAGTCACAAAATGGCTGCCATGTTGGGCATGGCCAATCGCAAAACAGCCATTAGCATGGGATTGATGCCACTATCCTTTTATCCTCCCAAGGTACTCTCTGTCATACCATATGGTTTTGCTTTATTTCTGGATGCCTGGGCTTATTTCCAAATATTCATTCATTTGATTTATTGGTCAATTTATATCACAACTTTCTGTCCAGCAGCTAACGGTGTGGGGGAGGAAGAGCCCTATATTAGTTTTAAAGAAATTTATTTGCTAAGGAAACAGCTATAAATGTCTGGATATTTAAGAGATGTAATAGCTCATCATTCTACACAGCCAGGATCATTCAACTGCTTGCATATTATTATCATTGCTATATATTGCATTGTCTTACTTTGAAACATAAAGTTAAGGGAACTTCCATTTCTTATATGCTCTTTCTTTTCCCCCCTCAAATTTGCATACGCAAGGAATCATTCCTTGCTTCAAAAAAATAATTGCTGGATCAAAATAAATTTCTTCCAAAATAACATTCTTCCATAATATTTATAGTTCTTACTAAAATAGAAAATGGTAATCAATAGTGGCTAAATCTTCAGCTATGCCTTCCATGATTTTTTTTGAGTATCCATTTTTTTTAGGAAAGATGACCAACACTTACTCACTGGGTAATGAAACATCATCATAGACTAACTTAATACTATGTTGCAGTGAAACAATGATTTAAAGCAGCTTTTAGATCCAAGTACAGTATATGAAAACTAACTGGGTGATCTTAGGCCAGTCATTCTCTCAGCCCAATTCACCTCACAGAGTTCTTGCTATGAGGAAAATAGGAGGAGGAAAGTGTATTGGATATGTTTGCTGCCTTGAGATATTTATAAAAATAATAAAGGCGGGATATAAACAAAATAAATAAAATAATAAATACTTGGAGTCACAGTGATAGAAGCATCATTTTAATGTCTTAATCTGCATAAAATTCAAAGGGTTTGGACAAAATGCCAGGCAAAGATAGGTTGGTTTCATAAATGACTGAAACATTTCTGTAACATTTCCCACTGATTGCCAAGATTTTTTTGCTTTGAAGCAAAATTCCTTTCCTTTCCAGTGAAACACAAGAAATATTTTCAAAAGCACTTGGTATATTAGTATCATGCAATAATATTAGAAAAATGAAAATCATTCACAAGAACTGACATTATTAGTATTAATTTTAGTGAGCAATGTTATTTCATGCATGAAGCAGCAGAATCAAATACTGAATTATGATATCTAAGGTTATGTGTTAGCTTTTGTCATTAGCATGGGCACAGGAAAGTTTACCTTCTTTATATTCTTTTCTTTAGGAGAACCAGAATCCTCTAATGATTTTTGTGAAGTAAAGTTATCAAAAGAAACAGATTTAGAAAAAAAGCTAATCCTTGTCTGGAATTTTTCATCATTTTGTAAGGCTCCCAGACTCCCTCCAGCAGTGAGGTAGGCAGCATATAAATTTAACAGAATAATAGAGTTGGAAAGAGCCTTGGAAGTCTTCCAGTCCAACCCCCTGCACAAGCAGGAGATCCTATTACAATTCCAGACATGTGGCTGTCCAATCTCTTCTTAAAAGCCTCCAATGGATGGAGCACCACAGCTTGAAGGCAAGCTATTCCACTGGGTTTTTGCTGTCAGGAAATTTCTCCTTAGTTCTAGGTTGCTTCTCTCCTTGATTAGTTTCCATCCATTGCTTCTTGTCTTCCCTTTTGGTGCTTTGGAAAATAGGTTGACCCCTCTTTGTGGCAGCCCCTTAAATATTGGAACACTGCTATCATGTCACCCCTAATCCTTCTTTTCACTAGACTAGACATACCCAATTACTGCAACAGTTCCTGCAGCCCCTACTGATCTTTGTTGCTCTTTTCTGCACTCTTTGCAGAGTCTCTATATCTTTTTTATAATATGGTGACCAAACTGGATGCAGTATTCTATGTAAGTATGTTCTTACTAAGGCTTTATAAAGCAGTACTAATACGTCACGTGATCTTGATTCTATCCATCTGTTAATGCAACCTAGGATTGGATTGGCTTTTTTGGCTGCTGCTGCACACTGTGGCTCATATTTAAGTGATTGTCCACTAGGTCTCCAAGATCTCTCTCACAGTTATTGCTATTAAGCAGGTTTCACCTAATTTGTACTTGTGCATTTGATTTTTCTTGCTTAAATGCAAGACTTTACTTTTCTCTGCATTGAATTTCATTTTTTTAGATAGGGCCCAGTGTTCAAGTCTGTTGAGATCCATTTAGATCTTGAACCTATCTTCTGGATAAATTTAATAAATAATTTATTTAATATTTAAATAAATATTAAATATTTATTTAACAAATAAATTTAATAAATAAATGTTACTATTAAGAACTTAAGAAGGGGAAGACCCTTTACTGCTTTCATTCAGATAAGTAAAAGAAAGTCAGAGTTTAAAACGCTTTATGCTGCCATGGCAACATGCAAGATGCCTGGATTAAGCTACTCCATAACTCGACAATACATATGACAATAACTTCTCTGTTCTTTTAAGAAAGTAGAGATCAAAAGCATTTTGTCTGAGACAGAAAGAAGAAAAGGAAATTCAGGTTTCTGCACTGGTTTGGACAAACTCTTTAAAATACTCCATTTAACACTATAATTTTATGAGACTAAATCCAAATATATTGTTTTCTACCTCAGTACTCTACCCAAAATAGGACTGGGAGACCTTTATCTAGGAAGATCTGTGTTTATATCTGCTGCCTTCACAGTAGATGTTCATCAAAGCTCTTATGCTCCATGGAGAAAAGGCATCTGTCAGAGGAGTTATGTAAGACCTCACCAATAGTATAGGCAACACTTGTTTGTGAAAATGAAAAACAGTTAGGAGTTTCAGGATTATTTGGAGCATATCTGAACTGAGGCATCAGCTTTGCTTTCTCTTATGGGTGACTCCAATTGGCAGCTCCCTCCTACCTTTCTGGTCAGCAGGATGAGGGGGCACATGTGGGTATTTGGAGTGCTTCTTGATATGGAAGTTCACGTTGTCCAGCTCCACATTCAGGCTGATGGAAGCAGCTGAGTCGCTGTCCATGGCAGACTGGAAGCTGCTGACTGAGGTACGCTTGCTAGGGCTGGCAGAATCTTTTGGATTTCAGTGAGGAGAAGAAAAATACAGGGAGGAGAGGGTGGGTGCAAATAACAGGTTTCAGGAGGATATCAAGGAGAGGAGAGACATTATCTTAATTACATGAAATTGATTGCTGGAGAAAGCAAGAAAGACAGTACTTTCATCCACTTGTATTTCATGGCTTTTCTAAAATTTTGATGGTCTTTTGAGAACCATTTACTTTATCAGACCATCATACTACAGAGATAGACCGCAAACACCTTATGCATATTTAAAGCCTGAAAACAAAACTAAAACAGTCTAGCTGAAAATGCTGCATCTGTTTAAGCAATCTTCTCAGTCTGGTATCCTCCAGATCAATTGGATTACAAATCCCATTTTTCCTAATGGGAGTTGTAATACTAAGAAATAGACACATCAGTTGGAGGCAATTGGCATAAAAGGATTAGGGGGGGAAAGCATTTGCTTCTACAACAGAGCAGGCAGAGAGCAGCGGAAATGGGACTAGCAGCTAAAATGGAATCCTCAAATGACAGACACAGAGACTCACTAGTCAGGTTGTCATCTCCTTCTTCTGCAATTTGCTCTGTGTCACTGTCATCAAATTTGATGTCTTTGAACCACGATGGCTCAGAATGGCCCTCCACGGAGTTGACAGAGTCGCTGTCTGGAGAAGGAGTTTCAGAAAATTCTGTGCTCTATAAAATTAATGAGGGAAGAAATACTAGAACATGAATTATACAGAATGGAGATACAAGATTAACACAATCAGATTAACAGGACACTTGCAGAGGAAATTTTAAAAAATGAACAAAATGAAGAAGTGTATCTTTTCAAATATATTTTAAGTAACAATATTTTGCTGACAAAATAATCAGAACTCACAAATAAAACAATGAGAAATAAAAAATAAATCAATAGTGGTTTTTGTCTGCATGCAGATAAAGTTAGGAACCATTGTTGAGTAAGGGGTAACAACCTTCTGATCACAAACAGAAAGTTTATTTTTGGCACAGGGAATTGTAACGTCAAACTTTTGCTCTTCTCAAAACTCTCTTGTTCTTCAAAGTTCTTCTAAATGGGGAGAAAATCTGTTGCTGTGCTAATAAAACCCACAGGAAATTCAAATGATCACAAGTGTGTGGGAATTCTAGTCATGAAAATGAGAATGTTACCAACCACTCAATGGACAGCCCAAGGAATTTGTAGTTTTGAAGTCTACATGCTTTGAGACAGATCCACATGTGATGTTAACATGTTAGAATTCCTAGTTTTCTTAAACTTCGTTCCATGACATACTTCTTTAATTTGCTGCCCTCTCTCACAGGGATAAAGATATTTAATGATAGCCAGTAACTCATTCTTTCCCCCATTCAGTCACATACTATTCTTTAGAAAATATAGCTCTACTAATTATTGGTCACCATCATAATATTACAGAAAAGTTCTTATATTTGTAACAGAATTCAGATACCAGCTTTGGGAATATTGGGATCAAGCCAAGGTAATTATACTGAAACTCAATTTTTGCTTCAAGGTTAGTATACTTTGCGACAGAGGACAGAGACATACGCACTAATTGAGCAAGTTTCTTGCTAACCAAACAAAAATGACATTAATCTGTTGCATCTCAAAGGCCAATTTTGACCTCATCACAGATGAATTCTACAAATGCAAGTCTGAAGCAAGCATTATTGTAGACAGAACAGAAGGAATTTCTAGCAACAAACATTAAGCAATGTTTAGATAAGAAATAATCCTGGTATAAATTGGTAATGTGGGTTTATCCTTATTTTTCTCCAAATGTGCATGAGACCACATAAATCAAATGCTCATTTCTTCTGAATTTTTCAGTAGTTAAAAAAGCTTTATAATTTTTCTCCTATTACTGAAGCAATTTTATTTTATTTATTTCAAAAGACAGACAAGAAATAGATACAATACATAGAGTTTTGAATTAGGTATTACTTCTTTACAACTGTAGGCAGTCATTAAATATGGCCTGGCAAAAATGTTTGTTGAGCAAATAACTCTATCACCAGACTCTCATCCTGTGTATGACAGGAAAGTCTAAACTAGATCTGCACAACTCATAGAGGAAAAGGGCTGCATTAATAAATCAAAACTAACTGTAGGCCACAAAGGAATATCTGGCACAGCTATCAACTGTTCACAGCCAGCAGAGTAGCAGCAGCAATGGAGCTGGCCACACCGATGAGGCTTGCAGGTGTTGGAGGTGCTTGGCAGCAAGTCTTTCAGACTGGTGGCAGATCCCCTTTAATGGCAGCAATGTTCGGTGGCAGTAGAATTATTTAGTTTCAAAAAAATCAGCAAGTCACACAAGGCTGCTTTGCAGGCTGGCTGATCTAAACTGTTACATGTTTGATATCTATATTTAAAGCCTTCAGGTTTTGTTTTGTTTTTTTAAAAAAAGTCTTGATTTATTTTTTAAAAAATATCTGTCCTCTGATTTTTCTTCTGAAGTTCTTGGAAAATGCCTTCTTTTCAATGAAAATTCCATAAATTTCTAGTTTATTTCTTGACCTAAGGTAAACTTGCACATATATTTATTTTATATGCCACACATCTTACTCCGAAAAACTGCTCTGGGCAGAAATTATCCTTATTTTTCTTATTATCCTTATTTAATTACCAGAAATTAAATTGCTTTCACACACTTTTTAAAAAGAACAAATGGACACACTTTCTGAATAATTGTTAAGTGAAATGCAAAGGTCATCATGAAACTACAAAAGTTGCTATTCTGAAATTTCTGGCTCAAATGGATCCAAAGTCATAAGACATCAATACGATGTTTTTCTCCAAGCTACCCAATCCACATATAACTTTTTCACAAAATAAATCCATACCTGTAATGGTCTGTAGAGTGCATATTCATCTCTAAAGATTTGATCATGGTGACTGATGCAATCCAGCCAACGCCCATCTACTAAAGCCTGTCCTATTGCAATTGCTTGAGCTCTGGAAATAAAACCATTTTAAATCCCATGTTAATGAATAAATGAGTTTTTAGTTTACTGTAGAGATGTGTTCTGACTACAGTGCTCTGAAGTAAATAATACATATAGAAGGTATAAGATTAAGGTGGTTTTAAAAGTGAGCTTCAGAAATCTTTTTCCAACCAAAGGATAACCAACCCAACAACCAGTTTGGTGAATTAGTTAAGGTGCTGGACTAGTAGCCAGGACTCAGTTTTAATCCTCCCTTAGAGACATGGAAGCTGGCTGGGTGATTTTGGGCCAATTGCTCTCTCAGCCCAACCCACCTCACAGAGTGGTTGTTCTGAGGAGATAGGAACATAGAGTATAAAGCAGACTGCTTTAAATTCTTCAAAGAAGAACAGAATATAAATCAAAATAATATTTTTAGAAACCCTGTGTCTTTGATCTGCCCTCATGACTTTGCTTTCATCTCATCCTCAATCTCCATATAAGGTAACTTCAAGTCAACCTTAACTGCTATCCTTTTCAAGAGATGCTTCCTCCTTTAGGCAGGCAAAACACAAGCACTATGCCTCTCCTGTTCTCTGGGAATATTCTGGTTTGGGTATAGAGTCCTGGATTTCAAATGCTTCCACTTTACCCACCAGGTCACCAAGCTGATTTCTAGCTCAGACACACACATTTGAAAAAAGGATCATCATTTCTAGCAGTGACCAGCATGAGGGACAAAAGGGGAGGTGGAGGCTGCCCAGTGGGGTTGGAGAAAATCTCTTGCTATATCACATAATCTCTCTCCTGATGGTTGGTGAGCATTAACCCATGTTCAGAATCAACCCAAACTAATGATAGGAGGACGATGGGTTCTACAAACTATCTGAATCATCATCACAATCCTCAGTTCCCGATACCGTATCTGTTATTTGAACTATTTGAGATTGATAAATACAAAGGATTTTCTGACTCATTAACCATACACACTGAAAGATAATTAATGGACCAAAACATAATTATTCTTATCTAAAAATTGATTCCCCCAAAGAATTTACTATAGCAGGCATAGATTGAGAACAAGAAAGATAAAAAATGAGTAGGGTGGGGAAGGGTTTGACTGGATATAAAATGCTAGAGTTTAATTATGAATAATTTTACCTCCGCAGAACCCCTGAATTGGAATAAGCCCAACTATTTTTATCTTACTGTCCTAATCCACGAACACTGAGCATACTTATGAAAGACCCCATGACACTCAGTTACCTAGTAGTGATGTGGCCATTCCTTATAAGCCAATTGACCAGCTCCTTTCCTACAATGCAGTTGGGGTGGGTACGCAGCCAGTAGCGATGATCTTGAAACTCCATCCCACTGTTGTGATGGCATATTTTCTTCCACAAATCCTTTAACTGAACTGAGTCCTAGAAGACAAAATGATGACATTTTGAGATAGCACACATTTAGATGGCTTAAGTGTTCTGTCTTGAGAGGTGCTGTTTACCTTGTTCCAAGGGATTTACAGAATTCCTTCTCTTGCCCCTCCCCTTTCCTGGATATACTGTTAAGACGGACAGTTTGTTCAAGGGACAAGTACACATTTTGCTTAAGTATTCAGAATTTTTATCATTATCCTTCTGGCTGAGAGAACTTTTAAAAATGAATTGTTGGCTTTCTGACACTTCAGAGATCTTGTGATGCCAAGTCTCTTGATTTTTTTTCTTCTTAGACAAGTAACCAAAAAAACCTTTTTGAACATTATGTGATTTTTAGAATTAGAATGGACAATTAGACGGGTTTGGGAACTGGCATTATAGAGTGCTTATGTTCTTCCATAACACACACAGGCATTGCCATTCATGACTGTCAAATCTCTTGCCCTGCTCTATTTTTAACATTTAAAATACATGGAAAAGCAGTTCCTTCTCTTCCACCTACTCCATCCACTTCCTTGCTTTCACTGGTGTATATCTGCATACAAACATTTCTCAGAAAGGAAGAAAGTATAGCAGTTGAAGAAGCAAACTCCAGAGAATTCAACCTATTAATTAGAATCAATCCTCTTTAAAAGAGAAAAAGAGAGAGAGATGAACTCTGCTACTGATAAATTGAACAGTTTGCATGTGTTTAAAAGGGGATTTTTTTAATTTGGACATGGTGGGGAAGCTTGCAATGTGGCAGTGTTTTGAAACAATCTAATAGCCCATATATTCTTTTTTATGGCTATGTTTCTTTGATTATGCAAATAGGAATCAATCTATGAAATTTACTCTGTTCTTTAGGCCTACAGGCAGAAAAAAATGCTTTTTTTTTAAGAATATGGCTGAAAACCTTTCTAGTACTCTAGTCTTTTGTAATGTTCCACTTATTTCCTGATTCCTTACAATGCTTGAGAGCTTTGACACCTTCCTCCTCCATTGATAATTAGGATTCCCCTGAGAATAAGTCTAGATTTGCATTTAAAACAACAAGCTATTATTCACTATTGCAAAGTATCCAAAATATTCCAGGAAAGCAAATAAAGATATATGGTCTGGCAAAAAAAAAAGCAGGATTTTGATGGAAGTTATTCAGGCTTGCACAGAAGACACTATAACACATTGTATATCGTATTAGTAAATATATCTTCTAACACTAACATGTTTGAGGGAGTTCAGAAATGGAGTTCCCTGCAACATCAAACATTGACCTGCACAAGAAACAGAACATCCAACGTGAGTCCATGAAGTAGGGCAGTATACAAATGATTGCACACACAAAAATAAATAAATAACCCTTAAGTTACAAAATTCAGAGTTGTGTCAACAAAAGCAGTATCAAGCCATCTATCTCTTATGAGTGTTTGTAGTTAATCCTTAATTGAAATAATATTTCGTGCTAAAGCTCCTATGTTAAATTGGACTATATACTTGTGGAAAAGAAAATAACATACCAAGTACTAACAAATGCACAAGCAATGCACATACTTGTTACTTATTTCTTCCCTTGTAAGGGGGATTCAAAATAGTATAGTTATCTTTTTAGGCCCACCTAAATATACAAGGCTTTTCTTTTTTCTAACTGATGCTAATTTTCCTGTGGTGAAAGACCATGCACTTTCTTCATAAGTAGATGATCACATGAAAATAGTTCTTCAAACTTCAAGATTATAATGATAAAAAATGGCATAATCTGCATTTCCTTTGAGGAAACATGAGGTACAAGTAATGAAAAACACAGGCTGTAAACAGAGGACAGTATAAAACAGGTAAACTTAAGAAGTCAAGTACCACAAACGGCAGTAAGTTGTTACTTATTTCTGTTGGAAGGATGCAAGATACAAGAAAAGCTTGGCTTGTACCAGAAGAAGTTTGCGTTCATCCTCACTGGTCTCCTTCATGTAGGTTCGATTAGTTTGTGGACTGACAGATGTCTCATAGGAAGGCACCATGGGAGACCCCGATCGATCCAGAGACAGGTTACTTATGCTAGCCGATCTGGTGGGAGGAACAGAATAATGCTTGTAATCTTCAGTTCATTCCAGCTGTACTTTAAAATTAACGTTTAACAGAACAGGGCAAAATTTTACCACATGTTCTTAATCACCTCTTTCAACCAAAATACAATCTAGCTTTCAATATTAGGAACCAAACACAGGAACTTTTTAAAAGGCTAGAAAGGTTAGAAGCTAATTTTTACCACATAAATTTCTCCTTTCTTGATTTTCCAAATGATAAGAATTAAGTGGCTTGATTTACTCTCTATGTGGCTTCATTTTGCCAAAATTCAGTACAGGTAGTCCCTGACTTATGACCATGACTGAGCCCAAAATTTTCATTTGCTTCAAATCACATGGAAAACAATCAGAACCTGAATTCTGATCTTCAACCTCGAAAGCATATTTCACCTTGAACTCCCTTAATCCCTGGTTTATTACTACTCAGTCTTCAAATACAGGGGCTGAGATTTGAATGTACAAATCTCAGGAAAATAAGCAAAAATGTCCAAATCCCTATACATGAGTCCCCTCTTTTCATAAATAGTTCACAAAACCAGATCTTATCCCAAATTAGGAAATGCTGGTTACCAGGTTCAAATGAAGACATTTTTCTGGCTTGATCTTACAAGGATCGACATTACAGAAATTACAGACAATATAAAATGTTTTGGATGAATCTCAGGATATTGACAAGAGACCAGGAAGCAAAAGAACAAAGTGTAAGACATGAGGCTAATACATATCTTCAAGCAAAAGCAATTTTTTGCTCAACTGTCCACAGTTACTCTTGCTATTAATAACGAGATAAATACCCTATCAGACAATCCATCAGCTTAAGATACCATTATAATTCATAACTTTTATTTTTTGTACTTCACAGAGAATAAACCAAGCATACTCTCCTTAAAGACAGCAGTGGACAAAGTAAATATAATAACCTCGAACCAACTGCTACATTTTTAGTGGTAAATATCTATCAGATCAGCCATTTTAAAATCTGTTTCCATTCATCTGGACTAGGTAACAAATGCATATAAAACATTTTACCAGCTTTATGAAAACTGCTTAAGGGAACTGCAGAGCATATATGGGAAATGACCTGTGCTTCAAGAAATGCCAGCCAGAATAGCTGTGTTAGTTCACAGCTATTTCCTTTTCACACATAAAATGGGATCTAAAATCATATATCTGACAGGTGCCCTGCTGTGGGAAGATAATGATTCCTCCGTCCTTATTTTCTTTGTACTCTGCAATTTTACATTCTTTCTCTCTTAAACAGCTCACTTCTAGACTGCTGCAAAAACTACATCCCCCTCACATCTCAGAACAATGAATGAGAAAAACTTAGGAATAAGCATGCATGCAACTTGACTCTGAGCATGCAGAAGTCTATAGGTTGACCAACTTTACATGGAAAGTAAAATACTGCAATATATTAGAAGAATAAGACCTACATAAAAAGTTCTCCTGCTGCAAAGCAGTGTTCCAGTCTTTATTCCAAAAATGCTTCTGAGGCCTATTTGTGATGGGGGGGCTGGAACCCAGGATTTTGGGGGAAGCACACCCACATCACTCCCCAAAGACAGCTAAGATCATCCTAAAAGCTAGAAGAGCCAATGGAAAACAAACTCATCAATTTGTTTTCTGGCAAATTTGTGAATGTCCATACTTACCACAGCAGCCATTCTGTAAGAGCCCCACACACTCTCAGAATTCCAAATGTGCCCATCAGCTCCAAAGAGGCTGGCAATCCTTATCCTAACTTATCCAGCAATGCATTTCAGCTACATCCACTACTTTTATATTTATAGATATTTAAATTGACTGAGAAGTGATTCTTGCAGAGAACATTCAGTTCCTGAAATTATTTATAAGATACTGATATTTACCAGCTACAAGTAACTTGCTTACAGTAAATTAAATTCTCTCAAACTGTTGCACCATTTTTAGAGGCATAAAAATATACACTTTCTATTTAGTTATAGCTAACTTAAATTTGATATACAGTACAATGTATTCTGTCAGATAACTACGATTTGTCTTTGACAAGGAAGAGCTCTTGAGGGATTCTGCCTAAGGAAGCAATATTTTGAAAATTACTTGTACTAATCTTGGCTAGGATAATGCCTTCAGTATGTAAAGAGAACATGTCTACAATCCAGATAAATTGAGGATAGGGAAGGGAGGGAAGCAGAAAGATTAATATGAGTGGACTTCTGGTCTTGCACCGTAGCGCCTGGTCGCGGGATCGAGGACCTCCGCACCTTGCGGTTAGTTTTGCCCTGCCAGGGGACCCTAAATGGGTCTAAGTCGCCCCAGAGAGGCGGTGAAGAAAGAAGGGTGACCCGACAACTCTGGAATGATGGCGGTTGTTTGGTTTGGTTCGGGGAAAGCCTTCTAACCTGACAGGAGAAAGGCTGGCCACACCTCACTGACCAGCCCAAGCTACTTGCAGCCGAAGTCCAAAGGCACTAACCAGCACAACAGTGAACAGCGTGCTTGAAACTGGGTGAGGAATTTGATCTTCTCTCTCCTATTTTGTATTTAATTTTCTGGAAAAGATCCCCAAGAAGCAAAAAGCCCCCCAAAGCAAGAAGGGGGGGTTTCCTCACTCTTCTATAGACGGAAGCGGCAAATTAAACACTTATGGGGAATAAACATTACCAGTTTGGATAAATTTGAAAGCTAAGAAAATTGTTAAAACTCTATACCTGAAAAAGCATTGATGAAGACACCTAGAAACAGCAAAAAACAGCTGGGAACAAAGCATTATCTACTACTGAGTGAAACTACATATGTTTAGAAACTGCTGACCTTCTGGGATTATAAACACACTGAACTGCATTCGTAAATCTTAACCTAAGAACTGTTTGCAAAGAAAGAAAAAATTTAGCCTTTGGCTAATCTTCTAAAGGAGAAATTACTGGAAAACTTTTAAATGGTCAAATACTTTGAACTGAATCCTGACTGGCTGATAATTATAGGACCCCTGAAAAGAATATTGCCACAAAATATTGTTTTCAGTGGTGCCTTGACAATTGGAAATGTACTGGGATTATAAAACCATTATATAAAGACAAGAACTACGTAAGATTTGGCTGTTTGGATTATAAAATGGACTGGCTTGATAAAACTAATTAAAAAGATTATGACACCGATGGAAAACTACTTAGAGGGGAGAGATAAAATGGATATTATATACCTATCTAAAAGTAATATAAAACTATACCTAACACCTCTTCCTGAACAACCCAGTTTTGAGCTTCAAAGATCTGCAGAACAATGACTCAAGGCAATACAAATACATTCCAGGAGAAAATATACACAATGCTGCGACAGATTCAAATGATAATTGTTTCAAACCATGATAAGATTAAAAATCAGTTTGACAATATAAACGAGCATATCTCTAACTTAAACCTAGAAATTAAATGATACTCAAAAAATGACAACAAACAATGAACAAACAAATCAGACAACAGACTATAAATTAAATGAAAGTGACTTAAATAGAAAAGCTACAAATGAAGAAAACTACAATTTAATACAAACCAAAAAAAATCTGCAAAACCTTACTATAATAAAGAAGACAAAAAAGGATGCCTTATCCTCCAGGATTTCAAAACAAATTTGAGGATAAAAAAGAAGAATAAATAAAATGGATTAAAGGACTGTCAGAAGAATCATCAAAACCTGATACCTTACTTGCTTTGTCTTTTTTGGATATAAACAAGCCCTAGATTAGATGGTGTATTATAGGGTTAAATATTGTTGGAATATAGCCAAAATAATAGATAAAGGGGCCCTATAGTAAGAAGAATAAGATATATAAGTAGTATAATACTTTTAGAATATATGAAATGTTAAAACATTGAGAGGGTCTATTTAAATGAAAAGTTTGGATATTTAAAGGTAATGAATTTTGAGAAAATTATGACTGATAAGAGTGGCTTGAATATTGAGGGGAAACTAAGCTTCAATAAGAATCTTGAAAACAGGACATATAATGATTTAATAAGATGACTTTTATAAATACAATGGAAATAAGCTGATTAAAACATGTTATATGTTGATGTTATTATTATGTACATAAATACTAAAAAATGTTTATATTCAACTTGGTTTGTACTGAAAATATTAAGAATTGTATTTGTTTAATGTAGACAAAAGGAGAATATTACAGGAAGAAGAGAGGATCAAGAAATATATTACCAACATATTGATTAATTGTAGAAATTAATTATCATTGTTTTAAATATATGAACCCAGACAACACACTGTTCATGAAGCACTAAAGATTGTTATTGTAAAAAATTAAAAAAATATATTAAAAAAAGATTAGTATGAGTGGAAATATTTTACTCTTCCCTAGCCACGTTTTCTGTCTTCCAATTATGATGTAAGATTTATATCAAATGTAATAAGAAATATAAAAAGAATGAAAGTCAAATAGGAAGTTTTAAAACAAAACTGAAAAACAAGGTGTCTTTATATATCTGTATTATACTAATTGGGCCTGCATGACATTGTGCTATAAAGAGAGCAAAAATCAATTCAGAATGGCTCTATTCTTGTCAATTAACTGTTCCCTATGGCACATAACTGTATGTAACTACAGAAATAATTCCCATCCTACTGCTGACATATAGTAATTCATCAAAGCACTACTATCCCAGCTCAAGTGAAGTATTATGCTCTCATAACTATACGCACCCTTTGCAATATAGCCAATTAGAATCAGTGAGATCATATGATGAAGCCAGCCCAGTATTTCAATGTCATAAAGGTCTTTAGAACACCATGAATCAAGAGCAAATGTGATGATGGCAGGTACAAACAACAGAGGGAGGGAAAATGAGTTAATTTGCTTATCTGCAAGTTGATTAATGATTTCGATATCTAAGAATGGCTATAATTTTGGAAATAATTTATGAAAATGTTTAATGTTTACTCCAGTAGAAGTAGAATTTAATGGAATAAAATCAATAATAGTAGGATGATAAAATTAATTTTTAAATATCTTATGGATAAGTTATTATTCTTTTCTTATGAAAACTGGTATGTTTTGGGGGATTGGAATAGATGACCCCCCAGTCTGGATGAAAAGTGACTGACTCTCCAAAACAAGAGATTACTTGTTTACTTACTTATAGAGCCATGAACTAAGATTTGGATGGCACACCTATTTATTGTATCACAAGGTTAAATTAAATGTTGATTTGAAAATTCACTTTGTTAGATGCACCATTCTAAGGGTTCTCTATGAAGTATTTTTTTGCGTGTCACCTCAGGAAGTCTTTTTAAGAAAAAAAAATGATGGCGAGGCTAGACTGGTAGACTTATGGTCAAATAATAAACTTTATTACAATACACTGTGATGGAACTAACAAGACAAAAGGTCTGCACTCTCTCATGCAGACACTTTTATCAAGACACAGAGTTCTTCCAATAGTGTGTTAATGTTCTTTTGAGACAGGCATTATGTTGTTTATTCAAACAGAGTCAACAGTAAGCTGCTTCAAAACATACTATCTAGTATGGGGGTGACCTCTAGCTAGATCACTTACCTATTCCGTGCAGGAGACTTCCCTGTTTCCTCCTGAACTGATACAAGACGTGTTGATAAGGTAGAGGATGAAGAATCTGGATGAATCAAGCTGCAAGTCAAGGATATTACATTTAAGCAGCAGTTAGCACTGCATCAGAGAAGCTAATAAGACCCCTGGTACAGGCTGAAGCAGCAAGTTGCTTTGTTCCCCCCAAAAAACGAAGGGAGGGGTATTGCTGTTGCTTTAAGCCAAATCCCAAGATGATCATGAATTCAAAGTATTGGGAAGTTCTCTCTTTGTGACATAGACTCTTATACATAAATACATTATTCCAGATTCTCAAGATTATTAAAATGGAATGATCGGAGACATCTTAAAAAAAATTCTGTAACTATTTCCAATTTTGAGTCTCCAAAGAACCATTCAGATTGCATACATGTAGTCCTTGACTTACAACTATAATTGAGCCTGCAATTTCAGTCATAAATCATGATGGTCGTTAAGCGAGTCATTACATGATCATGCCAGATTTTATTACCTTTTTTGCGGCAGTCATTAAGCAACTGCCATGGTCATTAAGCAAACCCATTGATTGCTATGGGATATTTTTTTAAACACTGGTTTCTGGCAAAAACATAAATCATGGTCATGTGACTGCAGATGCAACAAATGGCCATAAATGTGATGTGACTGGGGGTCGGACCAGCATCAAAACTTCAATTCCAGTTCATAAGTAGTTTTTTGGGGGTAGGTCATAAATCATAAGTCAAGGATTATCTCTATTTCAAAATTCATGGATGTGACACTTTATAGCTATTAATGTCATTTATTTGAAAAATTTGTTTGGAGGGGGGTTCTTTTTTGGTTCTTTTGGAAAAGGAGGTAAGGCACCGCTCTATATAAAATCTTTTCCCAAGAAACAGTTACTTAACTGAGCAACAGTGATGCTGCAAGGCAAAGAAGTCCTCGCTTAATAACCCTAATTGCTTCTGGCAACTCTGACACTAAATAATACAATCGTTAAATGAAATGTCACATGGCTGTGTGGCAATCCCGCTTGCTGCTGTTGAGCAAAACCCATGTGGTCTTTAGGCGAGGACCCACACAAATCCAAGCCATTCTTGAAAGAAGGCAGGGGACTGCCTCCATTTCAGGAGCAGAGCCGGAACCTTATTTCCCAGCAGCCTTCTTTCACAAAAGGACCCAGCTGGTGCACAAAAGAAAGCCAGCATGAAAGAAAGAACCGGCTGTGCTGGCACAAAAGGAAGCCCCGGCTGGTGCACAAAAGGCTGGCATGAAATAATGTGGCGCAAAATAACGCACTGGCTGATAGTGGTGCACTGTGGCACAGCAAACATATACCTATCTCTGTTCCCTGTGCCTGTCCACAGCACCCTTCTCTAGCTCTCATCCACCAGCCCATAGCGCCTCCCCTACATGTGACCAGAATGGTAAGTCTAACAGAGGGGAGGCAGGGTTGGCTGAGGGGAGCAGTGGTGGGTGGTGCGGTTGTAAATTGGGCAGGCCCAAATTTTGTTCACATGACCACAGGGGCACTGCAACAGCCGTATTTCATGGACCATTTTTTCAGTGCCGTCATAACTTTGAACAGAGAGATGCTGAGTGAGGACTACCCATATATACTCAGAGACATCTTCCAATTTTCAATGCAACATGATAAATATGCTGGTAGAAAATGTAGTTTTATGTTTTTGAAAAAACGAATTTTCAATTTATAAGTTCCAAGGAATGAAAGTAACAGAACTGAGGTCTCAGGCTACAAGATGGGGCTCTGCTACAGTATTTTCTTGATGAGAAACGTCAACATTGGATCACAGTGACTGAAATATGACCAATTTTCAATATGACAATATAGGAATTGCATCTATTGGCAGAGGCCATAGTGTCCTGAAACAATGTTCAACTGTGCAGCTAAAGAATGCCAAAGTAATAACTAAAGTTGTCTGAACAATGCTTTCTAATCGGGTGTTACAAAATTAGTCTAAGACTGAAGAAAGAATAGATTTTCCAAGCACTTAAATATAAAGGCATTGATACCTTTGCCAGGCAAGATCTTCTTCCAGGAAAATATTGCGACTAGCTTTTCTGCTACCTACAGGAGTACGGGGTTCCCCAGGATCCAATACTGACAAACAGCTTGATGAATCAGATAAAGCGCTCAAGTCTTCCCCAATGGTGTTACCATCTGTGGAGTGTGCATAGCTTAAGGCTATTTTGCGACAATAAGTGCAAGCTCTCAGATCACCTATGAGAAATAGAAGAGACTGCTTTATAATTTGAAGATTTTATTCTAAAAATTGTGGCATGAAAAACAGATACTATATTTGCTTTATTTCAAAGGTAGGAAAATTCTTTTATCATGCCTTGTATCAAGAACCTAAAGAAAACTTAGAGATCAACACCACTACACAGAATGTGAGCTAGATTTTGAACAGAAACATATACTGCGTGCACCAAGGCTTGCAACATATACAAGAACTGAAGACATTCCAGCAAAACATGTTTCATAGCAAAATGCAACCTCAAGCCCACCCACACGCCATGTTAATTTTTAACCGAAGTGTTGCAACCAGAATGCTGGCTTCATCACATGGAACTTAGGTTGGCCTGGCCTTTCCATTCTTGCCATCCATTCTTCAACCTGGTAAAATTACTTGAAGGAACAGCTGCAGGTCTAGAAATAAGATGAATGACTATCCTAACAATTTCTGGGAAGGGCAAGGCATTATATGGTTGCATATCCATGAGTTTACCACAAAAGTCTTCCTAGTATTCAGCGGATGATAGTATGGATATTACTGCTCATGAATTCTTACTGGCTGTTTCACCCACTATGTTTTGGGTCAATATGAAATTCATCCTCACCCACCAATTCCAGCAGAAGGATAAATTTCTACATCTTCTCAAAAGCTAGATGTATGATTGCACTTTGTCTTACCTGTGTAACCCATAAATTTTCCAGGGATTTCCTGGTTACAGCATCGGCTACAGAAAATTTGCCCACATAACCGACAATGATGTCTGCGTCTAAAAGTAGTGAATTTTTCACTACAGTCGTAACACTCTTTACATTGGCTATCTGGCATCCAGTATTGTTTGAGGTCACTGTCCTATGGAAGAAATTTGCTGTTTAGTCAAGGAAACAGTTTCACAAATGTTCTTTCTATTTCTGAATGTAAGTCATATTATGAGACGTCACAAGTCCAAAATTAGATTATAATATTAATTTGCAGACTGAATAGAGTTGAGGTATGAAACTCAAATTAGATTCAGAACATAGTCATATGCAAGGGTGTTTATAATGTGCCAAAAAGCTCCAATCTTCATAGTTGCTATAAAACAGATAAAGGAGAATTAATACATTTGCACTACTCTCATCTTTTAAAAAGTTATGTCCTGCTTAGTTTACCCAAGCCAAAGGATTTCACTTATGTAATGCTCTGAATTTAATCGTTAAGCAATAGGATTTGATTTAGTAAAAGGTTGCTAGAAGAAAGAAAATTTTTCAACTCACAAATGAGAAGGAACCCAGATATATCATACTGGAAAGGTATGAAAACTGATTTGCTATTATTGTCAAAATTAGTAGACAGCCCTTGCCCTCATTGCTTGAAAATATATTTAGTCTCTATACAAGTTCTAAGAACTTGTTCTAAGATTTTATAAAAACAAACAAACACAGAACTGATTTCAGGATTACTCAAAACTATAAAAGCAGCCATAAAGTGATACCTGGCTTTTTCCTTCCATGATTTCTTTGAGGCGTTTTAAAACTGTACTGAGGCTTCTAAGTTGAACAGCTGTCCTAGGATCATGACCACTAAGAGGAGGATCTTTTCTTCGATTGTCTGAAAGCAAAAGACAATAGTTGCCACATGAGACTTCCATGAACAATTAGTGGAAATCCCTTTAGAATACAAAAATGTTATACAGAAATTTTAACTTCAGTTCTCTCTTTTTCAAACTGAGATCAATGCAGTGGTAATGTCCTAAATTTAAGTATAATACAGAGTACCTTATCCAAAGCCACGTTTTGTGAAAAATAGCCATTTTCAATTATAGCCAATTTTCAAATAGCCAATTCATTTATCTTTAAATAAATAGAAAGCATTTATCAGTTCAAAGAAAGTTATATGTTATAAAATGGTAATGTCAACTCTTAAAAATGAGCATGGCTGCAGCCATTTTTCCTACTCATTTTTGGTTGACACACAGAACGGAGGGAAGGGGTTTTGCCAGGTGCTTCGCTAGTCTAAATAAATTTTTATCCCATGGGAATCAAGGTCATCGGCTGTGCCCAAGACTGCAGGCTGGGTGTTTCATGAAAAGCCCACCAAGAAGATGTATTGGGGAACGTAGTTGCTTGCATAGCCTTAGGGGTGGGATTTCTTAACTTTGTATTGGGGAATTGTTACGTGTGTCTTCAGACTTGGTTTCACTTTTGACGTGCCGATACTTTGTAACTAATAAACATGTTCTTTGAGGAATTTCCAAGCCTCGGAGTTCTGCTTTATTTGTCTCTGTCTGTTGAAACCAAATAAATAAAATTTATTTATTTGAAAGAAACCTGGATTGCTTCAACAGACCTCACTTCCCAGAAATGCAATTCAGAAACACAGCATTTAGTTTCAACCATGAATATTTCAGATTTACAAAAAAATAAAGTCTTCTTCAAGTTGAGTTGACCCAAACTGACTCCATGCACATCTCCATTCTCACCACAACAATATAGATGCAGCCATTTCCTTTTTTGAGGATTTTTTTCTACGTTATCCACAGCCCTGGGCTTTTCTTATTTTAATTAAGAGCTGAAATACCTTGAATAATTACAGGTCTATTTGGGTTCTTCCCAAAAATAGCAATAGAAGTCTGAGGAACGAAAGGCAAATCAGAGTACCAATTCCAAACTGAGTTATTAAGCAAAGATATCTGTGCTGTAGACACAGAACTAGTATTAATATCCCAAATATTACAATCTGTATTAATAGGTGTTTAGGAGTTTATGATCCATTGATTATGTGCCATTACAAACATTAAAACCTTACATCCCACTCCTTAGGGCTAAGTCAGCAAAAATCTCTGATTATTGATTGAAAGAGGACGGGAACAATAAATATTGCAGAGAAAAATCAGCAAATATAGCATTTGCTATTAAAATTTTATTATTTTGTTTTGTCTTGAGAGTTAGAATATAGACTCTGAATAGGAAAAGACCTCACCAATTTTGAGCACTTTAAAAAAGAGAAAAAAGACTTGGGTAGATCCAAAGATTTAGAAGTATTTTTGAAATCAAGGCTATAAGTACACAAACCTAAACAGTTTAGCTTAAAAAATCACCTCAAATCTGCACCTTAGCTGCATAGGAATCCACGGAAGCTATTCATCTGTGTCAACTGTTTCAGGGAGAAAATATTAACTTGCTTTAAAGCCAGCTAATTGATTCCCATTTTCTGAAGTCAAACGGTAGCTTTGAATACAGCAATTAATTAGTCTTCCATTAGTCCATTTAATTTCTTGTATTAAATCAACAACAGCAACATCAGCATATTACAGGAGAAAGATTTTGTGTGTGTTTATCAGAGCTCCTGGATACAGACTCCCCAGGCTTTTGCAAGCCTCCTTCTCTTTGTTGCATTTTCCTGCTAAGGATTCTTTCATATTTTAAAAGAAAAGTGCCTCAAGTTTCTTACCAATTCCATAGTTCTCCATTAGCCAGGCATTTTATTTTGCTCTCTTGTGTAGCAGAAGAAACATGGCTCCACTGAATGCCTTGCTTTATATACCAGTTATGTTATGTGGAATCCTGGCAGCAAAAGCAAGAAACAGGCACAATAACAGTTGTTGTATAATGGCCAGACTCCCAACTTTGGAAGAAGAAACAAGGTTCATCTTTGTAAGCTGTGCCAGAGGGTGTTACTAACAACCATCTCCCAGCTAGAATCTATTTGCCAGCCACCAATTCCTGAGGAAGGGCATGGTGCCACTTCTATGGCTGATAACGGGTGACTTCTTTCAACATTCCTAAATAGCATTGCTATAACTTCCAGTCTGGTAATTTAGACAAACTTCTTCGATTTTTCAGTTTTGAGTTAAATTTACGACAGAACATCAAATCCAGATTTATGTATGGAACAACTAAATTGTACCTTAAAGAAGAACTACCTACTCAGCAGGTGTTATAACAGATGCTTGTTTTATTATGGATGTCACTTTCCAGGGTTTATTAAAACATCTAAAGACTAGTTAATGGAAACAATAAAAACACTAAATAAATAATGTATACAAATATTGTAATAAGCTAAAACACCACAGAACGCACTGAAGGATCAAGACTATATCTAAAAGTTTGGAAAAATATTTTCCTGCAGTTAAATTATATGGTAGACAAACTGGGATATCACTAAAGCAGCCATCTCTAGGTCTTAGGACTGTGCAATGCTTTAGATTCAAATAAAAAAAAATGCTTTGGAGCTTGTGTGGGAACATATTTAAAGTTGTTAGCAACTCCATACTGTATGTCTTTTGCCAGATTGTGCTGTAGTTGTGGAGGGACCTCTGTACAATCCAAAAATCACAACTGCTCTCAGGAGTTCCTGAGAGGTGTTAGATAAGTCTGCCCATGTGCTGAGATGGTGAAGAACTGTTTTTTAGTGTCTTTTACCTTAATAAAGAAATATCAACTACTGTAACTGCAGCTACTGCTCCCCATACTATCTTTCCTTTTACATAGTACAATGTTTGTATAGGGCTAGTAATCCAGCTAATGCTAACCCTGCAATCACATTGTATGTTCAGATCTCTAATATAGAGGAATCTAGAAGCTAAAAAAAAGAGTGTACATTTGAAGATCACCATGTTGTACACATGCAACCATTCTTCATTATGAACTGACAACTAGGAAACTGTGCCTTTTGCCCAAAATGTAGAGCATAAAGTCCAGACTGAGAGCTTATGAAATCTCTTATAAATCTGCTAAATCAGGCCCCACATGATAGAGCACGTCCTGTACAGCCCCCTGTACAAAAGTTTTAATATTAAAATGGCAGAAATCTCTTTATTCTTGCTAGAATAAAGAAGCATGCACATTAATCAAAAGCTTTTGGAACTACATTTTATTTATTTAACAAACTTTTATAGCCACCCATATAGGAAAATCCTGAGAGATGTTAGGTAAATTTGCCCATGTGCTAGAGAAGTGTTTTTTAGTGTTTTTTTATCCTGACAAAAACAAACATAAAAACAATATTGAGGCCCTAGCAAAGCTTGTATCAATCAATCATACTATGCCAGTTCCACCTACATCCTGATCCTAGCGCTTGGGGGAAACCTTTTCTGCTTTCCATAAAGCTAAAAGAGTCAGTACCATCTGTATCTTTTTTTTGGGGTGGGGGAAGCTATTCCATAAACAGGTGCCACGAGAGAAAAGAAATGATTCTGAGCACCTGCCAAGCAACACCATTTCACTGAGGAGACTTGGAGCGTGCCCACCCTGCCAAATTTCCTGGGATGGATAAAGCAAAAATTGTATGATTCTGGATTAGTACAACGTGTGATCTGTACCACTGTAATTTGTAAATATTGTATGCCTTTGCATTATATTTGAATTAAGCCACATATAATGATCCATGTATTCAGCAAATCATAAGCAATGACTTATTACATTGTATGAACTCAGCTTATCCCTGCAGACATCTCTGCACAGGAACTTTGCCAAAGGCAAGTTCGACCATCATCAGAAGTAGAAGAAACGCTTCAATTAATGGTCATATTAATCCTTTATATAAATGGAAAATCTAACTGCTAATGTGATTATTTTGAAAGTTGCACAATCTATATAAATAAAAATGTAAATGTTCGTTTGTTCAAAATCTTAAATCTCCGAAAGTTCTTCATCGATTGCTTTGAAATTTTGACACAACGTTGCATTCGAATACGTGCGTGTTTTTATATACCTACTATTATATAGATGTATATAGATGTTTTTACCTGTGACAGGTAAAAACATGCTTTTTGGAAAAACAGCGCCATCTGTTGGACGTAAAAGCAACACACGCTAGCATTGTGAAATTAAACATATTACAAACGTCCACTTTCTCTTTTCTTTCTTTTCCATTTAACCAGACTGAGCCACAGCAACGCGTGGCCGGGTACAGCTAGTATCTTGGATAAAAACTGAGCTTCACAGACCTTGATAAGGTAGCTGAAACAATAAAAACAATGTCACACCCTTCTGTTAGTTGTCCTTGAAGACCAATACAGCAAAAATCCATATCCAGAGGGACAATGCACCTGTGATTCTGGACACATAGGAACCATAGAGCATGTGCTCCTCCGGTGCCTGCACTACAGAGATATTCATACTGGAACTCATCTCACCAATACCATCTAAATACCCAGATAATGTTGTACCTCCTTGCTGCTTACAGATACTAATCCTGGTACAACATACAATGCTGCCAGGTTTTGCACGGCAGCAATTAAAATCCATCACCTATGTGCCTCAACCCAGTTTTTAATTTGTATCAAAGCACAACAATATGTTGTCCAATTGTATTAGATGAATTCCAATTATAGAGCCCAAAGAATACAAACAAAGTCCTTAGACAAATTCAACCAACCATTACCTTGCTTAGTTTGTTCATGCTAATAAGGGGGGATGGCCAACCGCAGAGGTAAGGTAATTCTCCTGTTAAAGAGGAACTGGAGCTACAATCTTGAAAGAAGAAATAATCTGTTTTCAAGAAAGCGACCCTTTCAGGAGGAGATTCCAGAGTAGTTTCCTTCAAACTGCAGAAAAGTTGGCTAAACTTCATTTTCAAAATGTATTTCGTCACAGCTTTAAGGCCGGATTTGGGGTTCTATTTTAGCCATCTTGTTGGATGAAAGAGGCAGGAGACATGCATTGCCTTGTTGATATTCTTAAGGCTTTCAAATGAGCTGAAGAGCATTCCAGAAAGTGTTGCTTAAGGATTACTATTCTGCTCCATGTCAAATTTCATATGGAGAGTCTTATTCCAGTGGTCCCCAACCTTTTGGGCACCAGGGACCAGTTCCATGGAGAAAGGTTTTTCCGCAGACTGGAAGGGGCATGGTTTTGCATGCTGCCTACATCCTGAGGATGGGGCTTCGCTTGTTTGCATGGCCCAGTTTTCTGGCATGCTGCGGCCCGGTGTCGGTCCATGGATCGGGGGTTGGGGACCCCTGTCTTATTCCTCATGCTGTTTAAAATCTATATGAAGTCGTCATGGTATATGAATTGTCATCACCATGCCCCAGGGAATATGTGTCTGATTGGAGCAAAAAAGGAGCCCTCTCCAGTGGCTTCCTATTTGCCAAAGGAGGAGGGTGGGAAGCTTCCTATCAATTTTGTTTCTATTGGCAAGGAAAGTACATTCTTACTCAGGTGAGACCTTGAAAGCTAAGATGATTTACATTTTCAGATAGGAGAAGCTATGTGCTTTTAAGTATGCTTTCAACATTTTTTAAAAAGTTTACTTTTATTCATGTTAACTGCTAATTTTTATTCATTCATTCACTCATTCACTTATTCATGCATTCATTCATTCATTCATTTTTTCTTTCATTCATCCCATTTGGACAGCCACCCATCTCAAACCATTCACTGTGGGCAAAAAACAATCATTTGCCTTAAATGCAACTGTGGAATATAATGTAAATTAGTGGTCTCTTGTGAAATTGTCCAGTTCCAAGGAATTGTTTGCCTTTTAACATGGAAATTATTTGAAACTCTTTAAATCAATGCTATTTTTCTCCTTAAAGTGCCAGTGGTTGTTGTACATTAAGAATCTTTTATTTACAATTGAAACAGTGTCAGAAACCATACACCATGCATACTGAGAAATCAGTCACTTACAATTGCATAACATTTAATTATTAACTATCTTAGATTCCACTGGCAACATTCCCATAAAAATTCAATTCTAATTTTGTCACATTATAAAAATCATGCCCCCTTTCAAAATAAACAAAATTAACAAAATTAGATGGAAACTAATCAAGGAGAGAAGCAATCTAGAACTAAGGAGAAGTTTCCTAACAGTGAGAACAATTAACCAGTGGAATGGACTGTCTTCACAAGTTATGGGTGCTCCATTACTGGAAGCTTTTAAGAAGAGACTGGACAACCACTTGTCTGAATGGCATAGGACAGGGGTAGGCAACCCAAAACACTCAAAGAGCCACTTGGACCCGTTTCCCACCGAAAACAAAACATGTGAGCCGCAAAACCCTTTTGATATCTAAAATGAAGATAACACTGCATATATCCTTTTTTACCTTTATTATTCATTTTAGATGTCAAAAGGGTCTCTCTCTCTGTGTCTCTCTCTCCCTCCCTCTCTCTCCCTCCCTCCCTCTCTTTCTGCCCTTGGTCTGCCAGTCCTCTTCCCCCCCCTTTCTTTTTCTCTCTCTTTCCTCTCTCTCTCTCTCTCCCTGTCTCTCTCTCTCCCCCCCCCTCTCCCTCTCTCCGATCTTCTGCTCACCTGGCAAGCTGGCTTCAAGCTGTTCTCCAACAAGCTCAGGGGTAGGCAACCTCGGCTCTTTTATGACTCATGGACTTCAACTCCCAGAATTCCTGAGTCAGCATAGCTGGGCTAGCTAGTTCTCGCCTGTCCTTCCTGCTTCCTGCTTCCTGCAGAGACGCAGCAAAGGGAGGAGCCCCGCCCCAAAAGCTTTTCAGCTTGTCGGAGAACACCGCGAGTCCACTCTCTTTTACACACACACATACAAACACAAACACACAAAGACACAGAGAGAGAGAGAGAGACAGAGAGAGAAGCAGGGAAGCGCTTCCCTGCTTCTCTCTCTGTCTCTCTCTGTCTCTCTCTGCAAATAGCAGAGGAGGCTGGGAGCCACAGGGAAAGGCTCAAAGAGCCGCATGCGGCTCTGGAGCCGCAGGTTGCCGACCTGTGGCATAGGGTCTCCTGCTTGAGCAGGGGGTTGGACTAGAAGACCTCCAAGGTCCCTTCCAACTCTGTTATTATGTTATTAATCAGGATATTGTAGGAGAGGAAGAGCCTGGCGGCGGGATCAAAAATGGAATCAGCCTAAAATTCCTAGCCACAAATGTATTGAGTCCAATCCTTGAATTCCATTGACTCTCATCTAAATTCTAGCAGGTGCTAACCTTTAATTCCTATACATAGGTATGAGCAATAAAGAGTTGCCTTGCGGTAAGATGGGTAGCAAACAAATTTAATAAACAAACAAACAAACCTGCTTAATTGGAATTTCACCTGTGGTCATTCACAGCTGGTCTTTTGCACCTGACAGACATCTATACAAGCTTCCCTGTGTGTTTGATTTTTCTGAACTAACAATTCTCTGTTTATAGTGTTTAAAAATAAGATATTTTTCAGGTACTGAATTACAGTCCTCCTGAAAAGCACCTTTAGAGTGAATGTTTGGAAAATTGTGAAGGGCGGATAAAAGTTTACAAAACAGGCTCCTTTTCAAGCTCAGATCTCTTACCTAATGATGTAGAAGATCGTCGCTGCAGCTCCCCCGCAGGTTGTGTTTTTTTGTAAGCTATGGGGGATGACCTCAACGACTGCGATCTTGAGGAGTGTTCTGGGCTTGACCAATTCGCATTCAGTGTCTGCTGATGATCCCCCTGCCCAATCTCTGTTCTCTCAACAGAGGGTGCAAGTCGTCCATCATCTAGAAAGGGCAAATATTAGACTGTGAAAAAGCTATATTTTTCTACTAGTCTGAAAGATAACAAGCTCTCTTTAATTTTTTTAGTACCACTTGTTGCCTTCAACCTTTTATATAGTGGTTATATTTTTTATCCTGCAGCCAAGGCCAAATTTACTCTCCAGTTGATTTGATGGCAATTAAGAAATAAAGTAGATACCTTAAGACTTACAAGGATTTACAGTAGTGGCCAAAATTGTGGAAACCTTTTGGGAAAAGTGTACAGTAGAAATGCCACTTTTGGTTACGTTTCCACCAATTTTTCTTCTAATTTCTTTATAACTGTAGCCTTGTTCACTTAATAATACTATTTTACATCGCTTTCTGGAAAACCAGTCAAGTATTTGCACCATTACTTTAATTTTATTATGTTTTACAAGCTCACTAAATGAAAGAACACAAAAAACCCAACCAACTTGATAGCGATCACATAACACATTGACAAATGTCCTCCTCTCAGCTTCAATACATGACATCAATAACTGAATCCTACTGTGATCTCATTGGCTCATTGCCAAAACAAGATGATACCTGATTGGCTCTCTAAACACTCATGCTCATTGGCTACAAGCAGATGAAGGAAAGCTACCTGATATCAACCTAAGCAAGTTGTGCTTCTTTTTCCTGGTTATTTGGCTATACCTTTTCATAGAATACAGTACAGATAATTGAACAAACTTTGTTGCATTACATTCTTGATTAAATTATCTTTCCATTGATATACAATTTTATGGTACTACTCTCAAAACAAATGGTGTTATTAGCCATCAAACCTCAAAAATACACTTTTCCCAAAAGGTTTCCACAATTTTGGCCACTACTGTAAGGTACACATTTAGCTTATAAGCCCCCCATGGTAAAAAAATGTACCCAATTTTGAGGTTGTTTTCACAGTTCTTAAAGGACATAAAATGGTGCATTCAACCTCTTCAAGTTTAAACCATTCATTTTGCTTCTTCAAGCATTGCAAGCTGTCCCCAGAGAAAAGAATAAAACATTTAGTCCTATTCAAAGAGTTTCAGAAGCTGCAAAAAGATGTTGGGAGAGTCATAATTGGTTCTGTATCTAAGTACTAAGTGAAAGAATGATCAAGCTAAATGGTAGCATTTTCTTCTTCAAACTCAAATATATCAGACAGATAAAAATTATAATTCAAAATCAATGTATGGCAGAGGAATATAATGGGATACTAAGCAAAAAAATACCATAAAGATCACAACTTAATTTAAAAGAGTTGGGAAATTATACAGTTGTTTACTTGCCATACCACATTTGATGGTTAGGTATTGACTTCAAGGACTGATTTGATACATGTGGAAAGAATCAATTCTTTATATTTACAAACTATGAAGGAATTCAAAATCAATACTTTCGATAAAACCTGAATCTGGAAATCAGAAAACACGGGCACAAAGTGTCCATATCATACATACTTGATCTATGCATGTATTAATTTAGTGAACAAAAACATAAAAAGGGGGAGGAAGCAGAAAAAGATCAGGATCGGCCTGCTGTCTTCACTATCTACACTGTCAAATTCCACATGTCAGATTTAGCATCATGCACTCAAACAAAATCATCAGTCTGATGTTGGCTAATTTCAATATAATTACAGTTAATGTGATGTTTACCTCCTTCTGCACACTTCCAGGCTTCAGAAGAAGCCACGTGAATTGAAAGTGGGAACAAAACTTCCAACCTCTTATTCCAGAGAAGAGAAAGAAAATAGGAAGTCTTGGGCTTATGCACTAGTAGTATTTCAACAGCTCTGGAAGTCACCAAATAGAGGGAGACTGATTCAGAACCACAAGTGACCTTAAGCCCTCTTTCATACTGAAGAAATTAAACCGCGAAACATAATTTGCACGTACCCTTAGTGAAGCGAAAAAGATTTACAAAAGAACTGTATGCAGATTTAAATGGAGGCTCATCCTGGTCAGGAGTCAAAGGTTTGAAGTGCGTCAGGTGAGATGGGCTGCCAGGAGAGTAAGGCAAATCATTCACAGATTCCAGTGTGGGAAATGTTTTGTCATCTGTGGCCATTTCATGAATCCTAAGAAAAATGAAAAGTGCATGTTTACTATTTCACTCATTTACTTCAATAAAAGTCAGATCATCATTTAGATATTATAAACTCCTTGAGGTCACAGCTATGAAAGTCCAGAGATATTTGCCTTTTATGAATCTACAATATCGTAAGCATGAATTCAAGCAATCTTTTCTATCTTCCTATCAAAAGAGAAAAAAAACCAATCCAAGCAGAGCATTACCGGCTTCCTCTTACGTACTATGAAAACATAGTTAATGATACGTACATGGTATAGAAACATAAAAAGGAGTGAGCAACCTCTGATGAGACTGAAAAAGAACAGATTAAAAACTAGATTGTTAGCTGTTGTCTGGTGTGAAGGGAATCAGCGTATAGGCACAATAAAATTAATTGTTTGTATTGTGGTAGATGGTGTTAGCATCAATGGGGAGGAAGGTACAAAGTCCTAGTAGTAAAGTAAAATTTAGATGTACTTGGGCAACCCATAGTAAGGTCCCCCACAGTATTATCAGATACTACAGCCTGGTGTACTTTCAAATGTTTTATTTGTACTGTGCTGATTATAATAATACTAAAAAGCCATACTGAAATAAGAGTATTAAATGGCACAGCATAAACTCCTAAATAAAGTACTGTTCAACTTTTTAAAGATGTATTAAAGGAGTGCATCTTACCAGCAGCGGTACTGCATAGAGAGCAATGAAATAATCATAAGCAAATTGAATAAAATGAATAGATGGAACAGCATGGATGATGGCCTATATCAGTGGTGGTGAACCTATGGCACGGGTGCCAGAGGCGGCACTCAGAACCCTCTCTGTGGGCACGTGCGCCATCACCCCAGTCCTAGGCCTTCAGCTGGGTTTTATAAAACTTTTTTACTTTAGGCCTCCGCCGCCGTATGTAAAAAAAAAAGGTTCAATCAATCAGTCAATTTCAACTTCTCGCGGGAAAAAAAAAGATCTTGCAAAGTTGGAATTGATTGATTGAACTTTTTAGTCCCACCCAGTCTGCTGTTACCACCGCAGTCATGCCCACCCAATGGGCCACACCCAGCCAATGGGCCACACCCAGCCAATGGGCCACACCCAGCCGGCACACGACGATGCATAAGTGGGTTTTGGGTTGCAGTTTGGGCACTCGGTCTCTAAAAGGTTCGCCATCACTGGCCTATATAATTATTTATTATGAAGCAAAGTATGAGACCCACATAATCGAGACTAGCAATTTGAAAATGTCAGTTGTCAGTTTTAAAAATAGTTCTAAACATCCACTTAGTAATAATCTAAATTAAATCTGTCCTGAGTCACTCTGAAACAAAAAGGGCAGCAAGTAAAATAAATAAATAAATAATCAATCAGGCAGATTAGGCAAGACAGTAACATTAGACAGAACCTGGATTTAAATCAGACTGAATGCATATGAGTATATTTTTGGGATTATATAGAACAGAACTTTACCTTGTTTACTTCCTTATAACAAATATTAGTAAAAAAAAAAAAAAAGAAAGATAAGGAGAAAAAAAACCCCAAAAGGAATATGTACAAAAGTTCTTGAGGAGGGATTGATATTAGAACTGTGCAGTGCTTCAGATTCAAAAGTAAAAGGTGTTTCCGATCACGTAGTGTCTATAAAACCAGCTTCTGTCTGCGAGCCCTAAAATCAAAGATGTCTTTTCCTGAGACTCTGCCACAGTTGTGGGAAACAACCAAAATCCCAGAAAAAGGCATAAATGCTTTAAGAAACTGTACCTTTCTGGCCACTTCCAAATATAATTCATGCACATAAAATGTACTTTAATCTTCTATTGATTTATAATAACAAACTTACAATGAACAGAAAACATGAACTAGTTTCCTTAAATTTATATACATTACCATGTTGCCACCAAAGACGGTAGTATTTATCAGTTTTATTATAGACTCCCAGCATCTACAAAGATGTCAATTAATACTCAACATTAGATGGTGTAATAACATACATTAGACTGAGAAAACAAAAGAGATTCTAGAAGGCAGCAGCAAACTACTTTAACATCACCAAAAAAGCAACTATACATGGATATATCCATGAAATCACCAGGAGTCAAATTCAACTGCAAGTAGATTTTATCTTTACCTTTCAATATGCAAATAATTACTATAATTAGAAGCCACAACCCCACAGATAAACTTTCATTGAATTGAAAAAGTGGGCAGCTAGCCAGTCTTTGATTCTATGAGCAAAACAGAAACCATAGTACAACACACTGTAAAGGGAGCTCTTCTCATTAATGATCCCAATCAGATTTCAACTCAGTCCATTTTAAGAGTAGAAATGAATAGCTGCAATAACCATTTTTATTTCTGTGTCAAGAGTAATAAATTGGGAATAAAATTGCAACATAATCACAAAAGGTGATTATGTATGTTTTTTGGCTAAGAATATGCCAATAATATAGCCACCAGATGACAGACAGATGAATGGATGGATGGAAGTTTTTACATATCCCTAGGATATTATTTTTATGGTAAGTGCTAAATAGCTTCCAGTGATATATTTAAAAAGGTTTTATGCCATAAAGAATTCCAAACTGATCAATTGATTTCAGATCCCAAAAAATGCCTGGGAGTGTTGGCAACACAGACCTTTCCCAGAAAGGGGGTAATATATTCCAGAGAGAAGCCCAAATTAAGAGATTGTGCAGTTATGACAGGATAGGGAAGGGAAGAAGTAGTTAGACACATCCTAGAATCTCTTAGGATTGCTGGTTGGGGAATTCTGGGAGTTGAAGTCCACCCATCTTAAAGTTGCCAAGGTTGAGAAACACTGGGCTAAAGAGTTATACTGTAAGTTTAGTCTAGCAACATTTTGTCCATTAGGTATAAGCAAATAAAAGATTGGTTTGATTAGATTTTGTTGTATCATTTTTGGGCTTCGGCGTCACACTATATTCTTTTAAAATCTATCACATATGGTAAAATAAATTGCATATTACTAAACAGCCTCCTTGGATTTTAAATACAAATCTGACAAATATGAAATCAGGCTGAAACCTGAGGCCACTCTTCTGCAAAATCTGTTCAGTTCAGTAGACATAGATATCCCATCAATAATTAAACAAAAGGTTTTTTTTCTTGTCACACCTCACACCGATTATATTCATCCATGTACTTAAAATGTGGATGATTGAGAAGTGGCCAAAGACAAGGATGTGCTATTTAAACCCCAGTATGTTTCTTCAGATGGAACACTCATACCAGGGCTCAATGGAGTAAAATATACAATAATGGCTGTCTGGGTAATAGTGTAGTCATAGGCAACAAGTAATTCAATTCTTTCCAGCCAAATTCTGATTGGAATTCTTTGTAAAGCCCTATTAAAAGTAAGGTTTATAATGAGCTTATTAGTGCTGATCTAGCTTGACCACTTCTCCACAAGACTGAAGCTCTTAATTTATTGGATCAGGAAGTTCTTTCCTTTCATTCTAGGAATAAGAAGCACTGCTCCTCAAGTGATCACAAAGTCCTTTCCTAATCCCTAAATTGCCACATAACCCCTTTCACCGCAATCCTAACAGCACTGGGTTCCTAGTCTCCGTATGCTGATCATTTTCCCTCTCCCAAAGCAAATGCTCCATGGTGTACATTTTTTTCCCTCTATGGTACTGACTGGATATTCACCAAGAATGTGATATGTTAACAGTGAATTTCTCAGCAATTTGGCTGGCAGGCAGCTCAGGCAATAAGAGGTGAGCTAAGGCCTCAATGAGATTGCCCTTGGATGGCCTTTACTTGCCAATCCCACAGTGTTCCCTAATTCACCAAGAAGGTCTAAGAAATGAAGCAGCACAAATCATCACTTGAGGGTTGGTGAAAAAGGACTAAAAGTGAACCTACTCTGTACTTGGACCTACAGTATATAGTGCTGGATAATGGAGAGGAGACATCAGTACTTCTTCTCTCATAATGCATTGGTAGGCTATAGATGGTAGCCTTGTTTCAGATGATGAATTCCTTCTCAAGGAGAAACAAGCCAGTAGATCAACCTGGCTGTTGTGACTATTTTGCTAATTTTGCCAATTAAATCATTCAAATTACCAAACTCGTCACTCCTCCCGGGCTGAGGCTAGTACATAAAGGCATATTAGCTGGGATTCCTTTGGCCTGCAGATTCTGAGGAAATTGACAAGAATGTATTCTGGCATGTTCACTGTCATTTGTGGACTTCATCCATATCTCTCTTGGCTCATTTGTGGGACAAGGGTGTGATTAACTGCATCTAAGGGATGGTCAGTGCTTCTTTCTGGGAGAGGTTGAGGCTGATAGGCTTGAATAAGGCCTATCAGCCTAAGATTTACTCCCTGGATTCAGCTGGTTTATATCCAGAGGCACTCCAAGGACACGGTCTATTCACCAGTTCCTTGGTCTTTCCTATATTGTTCAGCTTCCCTTTCACAGAAATATCTTCAATTAACCATACCTTCCCAGAAGTAAAAAACACTAGCAGATTTTCCCAGGAGGACAAGTTGACTTGTTGGAATTATACGGCTTCAGAAGTCAAAGCTAGCATGTTAAATGACATTGCTAGATAATATTCCTAGGGCGCTCCAAAAAGGGCGCTTGCTTTTGAGACTGGGCTACGTGACCTAGGGACACAGCAGTTTGCTTTTCTTTCCCAATGCAATCTGTGGAGCTTCCAGAAGGAGGTCTACAGTAAAAGGAAAGTGAGCAATTGCTCGGAGGTAGGGAGGAGCATATGGATCCTGGTGGGGTGGCAAAGCATATGGGATGGGAGGGAAATAGGTAAGGGGGTGCTGCAGAGCCTCTGCTGTCAAAACTGGGTCTTAAATAGCTTTTGGGCTGATTGATCATAAGTCCAAGGACTACCTATAATCTGCAAACAGTTTCACTATCATGATTCTGTCTTCCTCTAAATTTATATGCTTGTTCTATATGTCTTTTCTACCTGAATTTTTTCCTGACTTCTTATTCTCCTTTGTTGTACACAGAGATTTTATGTAA